TCTCACGTTGAATAATATCATTAGCCTGTATTCATTTTGTGCCAGATAATCCTTTGATGGCTAGTTACAAGTATTGTTGTGCAGCCATCATTACTAAATGTTTTCAGAGAAAATGAATTGTTAGGGGTAGAGACCATTTTGGCCACTTTTACATAACATTTTGTTCTGTAGACTCCATTCAGAACTCTTCTTTAAAAAAAAAAGTCATTTTTTGTTTATTTAATTGAAGCATTTTTCAAAGAAATTGTACTTGACCTGCTAATAGAAGTAGGTGTTCAATTTTTATAATTCTCATAAGGCACAGATTCAAAACATGTTGTAGATGGGCTTGCTAGTCTGTGACCTCAGTGCTCTGGAGGCTGGAGTACATAGTGAGACTCTGCCTCAAAAAACCAAAACTGAGTGACAAATGGCTCAGCAGGTAAGGGTACTTGCTGCCAATCCTGAAGACCTGAGTTCCAGCCCCAGGACTACACACACACGGTGGAAGGAGAACAATCTTCTGCAGGGTTTACACATACACACAAAAAAGTCTAACAAAACTGCAAGGCAAAACCATCTTTAGGTGAAAATATATAATACTAGTTAGTGTTTTGCCATTGTGCAAACACTGTAGAAAGAACCTGCCTTTTTTGTTTGTTTGTTTTGTTTTCTTTAAGTTTTGCTTTTTGGAGACAAGTTTCTCTGTGTTGTGGTTCTGTCCTGGAATTCACTTTGTAGCTCAGGCTGGTCTTGAACTTAGATCCCTCTGACTTTACCTTCCCACTGTTGAGATCAAAGGTGTTGGTTACCACGCCCAGCTAACCTAGGTGTTTCCCCCCACTATATAGTTAGCTATCTGGTTTTTAACTATTTAACCTGCTGTGTACTTATATTCTGTGGTATTTATCATTGTGTATGTGATCTTTCCCTGATCCTGAAAACAGGGTTTGGAACATAGCTTTACTTTCACGTTCTAGGAGACAGATAAATTGGATTTAATTTTTGTGTTTGTTTAATACATACTATCAATATAGGGATTTATTGATCCAAATTTCTTACTATATATTCAAGCATGTATCTTCTGTAATTCCACAAAAGAATTTATTCTGGTGTTTTGTTATCTTTTCTTTTTTAAATTGCTGTTGTTTTTTGAGACAGGGTTCTCTGTATAGCCCTGGCTGCCCTGAAACTCGCTCTGTAGACCAGGTTGTTATTCTGGTTTTCTGTTTTTTAATTTTTATTTATTTATTTATTTTTGGTTTTTTAAGACAGGGTTTCTCTTGCTTTTGGATGCCGTCCTGGAACTAGCTCTTGTAGACCAGACTGGTCTCGAAATCACATAGATCCGCCTGCCTCTGCCTCCCGAGTGCTGGTATTAAAGGCATGCGCCACCACCACCCAGCTAATTTTTTTTTTTTTAATGCAGTATACTTTTGAAGCAAGTTTGCTGAGTTTTCCTATGATTGGTCCTCTTAATATGTTTATTACCTAGTAACATAAATAACACCTTTGTAAGTGAATTGTGATGACTCCATAAATTAAATCCTAGAAGAGTGACCAACAGGAAAGCAAATCTGTGAATATTAGAATGTCTCGAAAGTGGTAAATCCCAAATTTTCTCCTCTAGGAAATTATTTTTATTATTATTTTTCTGATGCTGAGAATCAAGCCAAGGGGCTTGAACATGCTAGGCCAGTGATATGCTGTATCACTGACATGACTCCAAGACACTTCATTCCTTGTTTTTGAAAGAAGATAATTTTAAGTTGCTCGAGCTGGCCTTGAACTTACTGTGTGGCCCATTTTGGCCTTGAATTCATGATCTTGTTGTTTTCCTGAGTAGCTGGAGTTACAGGCCTGTCACTAAGACTAGCTTAGATTATTTTTAGAGTTATAGTCTTTCCATTTTGAGTTACTGTAATTGAGTAGTGTACCTGTAATAGGCTAAGTAGAATTAGAAGAAGTAGTCTCCAAATTTTTTAAGTAACTTTATGTCAGAGAACAAGATTTTTTTTTTAACTGAAAGTTGGTAGCTGTGGGGTGTTAAAAATGTTATATGTTAGTACCATTTGCACTCAGGTACATTTATTTAAATAAGCCCCTTCCTACCTGCTAATTGAAAAGAGCAATCACAATTGATGGAAATACAGTTGGCATTTTTCTGTATTTATGCGGAAAAGCAAAGTCACCTTGCAGATTAGGTCAGCCCTTTAGCCCTCCCCTCTCTGTAGTATCATGCCATAATTACGGTGGCTCAGCTGGTGACTGAGGCATTGGAATCATCCCTATCCTGAAAGATCAGCTTCTTCACCATTGCTGGCCAGAGTGCATTGTGAAGTAAGTTTTGGCTGTGACACATACGTAAGAAAGTTGAGTTCTTAGCAAACCAAGAGTCAGATAACCCGAACACCCATTTGAGAGCACAGTGAGTTAATGTCTCCTGTAAAGAGAAAAGCTTGACAGAGGTGGAGATGGGACTGCCCTGTCACAGAATTCTGTGGAGTTCCGTTGCTTGTCACTTGCTTGTGTTGGCTAAGGCCTATGAAAGATTTGAACATGCAACTCATACCAAAGTTGCATAACTCTAGTTCCAGGGGATCTGGCATCCTCACACATACATGCAGGTAAAACCCCGGTGTACATTAAACAAACAAACAAACAAATGTTTTTTAAAACGGTGATCCTTAGTAAAAATGACAAACCTTTGTGTTTATACTTTCATATAAGAAATGAGTCAGACTGGGTTGGGGAGAAAGCTTAGTGGTAGAGCTCTTGCCTAGCATGTGAAAGGCTCTGGGTTCAAGAAAAACTGTCATAGACATCCTGATCCTTGCCAGGCGTTGGTGGTGCATGCCTTTAATTCCAGCACTCAGGAAGCAGAGGCAGGGGGATCGCTGTGAGTTCGAGACCAGCCTGGTCTCCAGAGCGAGTGCCAGGATAGGCACCAAAGCTACACAGAGAAACCCTGTTTCGAAAAACCAAAAAAAAAAAAAGAAAGAAAGAAAAAAATCCTGATCCTACTTACTCCTTAACAGTCTTACTTTGCTAGTTTATTTACCCTAGGATTGTTTTTTCCATTCATAATGACAATTAGGATAAGAGCGGCTATAAATATTTATTATTATATTTAAAAATTTAAATCTAAAATCAACTCCTTAAAATCTAAGGAGTTCCCCTGTATTCTGATGTGCTGGTAAGGATAAACCTTTTTGTCTCTGTCCTGTCCCCTGTTCCCCTGTCATGTTTTAGGCAGGTTATGTGTGTTGGTCTTTATATATAGGATGAAGCACCTTAGTACCAAATTCAGGTCTTTGTCTTGGTTGTAAAGTACTTTTAATTATTTGAAGCTGCTAGATCAGCTTAAAAAAATTAACCATCACACCTTTAATCCCAGGAGGCAGAGGCAGGCAAATTTCTGGGAGCTCAAGGCCAGCCTGGTTTACAAAGTGAGTGTGAGGACAGCCAGGCTGTTACACAAAGAAATCCTATCTCAAAAAAAAAAAAAAAAAAAAAAAAAAAGCCAAAACAAAAATAACAAAATAAAGCTTTAAAAATTTTACTTTCAGATAGGTGTGGTTAGGCACACTTTAATCCCAGAGCAAGAGAGGGAGAATCAGAAGCATCTCTGAGTTTGAGGCTAGTCTGGTCCATGTGGGGAGTTTCATGTCATCCAGTGCTATGTAGTAAGACCCTGTCTCCTAAAAACAAAACAAGCAAACAACAAAACCAAAGTAAATTTTCTGAAATTGGATAAAAATAATATTTTTTAAATGTAGTTCTTAGCTTTTTTGTTAATTGAAAATCGTCCATATAAAACATATCTGCTAAAGTAGTAAACTCAGGTCAAGCCTGGCAACCTGAGTTCAATTCCCAGAATCCACAGAAAGGTGCAAGGAGAGAACCAACTTCACAGAGTTGCCCTGTGACCTCCACATGGATGCACTTGCCCCACCCATGGAGCAGCACATGATAGGAACATGTTAACAAAAATGGTTTTGAAAACATAGTAAAGTCAGGATACAATTTTATCTGTTTTGGCAAAGTGGATGGTGAATGCAGGATCCTTGCTCAGAGTGTGTATGTGTCTGTGTTTTTTTATTTTTTTTATTTTTTTTTTATTTTTTGTTTTTCCAGACAGGGTTTCTCTGTGGCTTTGGAGCCTATCCTGGCACTCGCTCTGGAGACCAAGCTGGCCTCGAACTCACAGAGATCCGCCTGCCTCTGCCTCCAGAGTGCTGGGATTAAAGGCGTGAGCCACCAACGCCTGGGGAGTCTGTTTAAACTGTATTTTAAAACAATGCTTTATTCTACACTATTAGAAGGAAGCCATGATGAGCTATTGCACTTTTTTTTTTTTTTATAGCTATGTGTATTCCTTGAATGGATATCCATTGACAGGAGACAGGTGATATAGAAATTATTGATTCTAAGTCTCAGCAGAAAGCCAGGGCAGCTGCAGATACTCAAATATTAACTTGTAAGCATATGATGAATCTTGATTCTATAATGAATAATTTGGATACCTTTTTATGGATATTTCTGGGTTGAATCAGCCCTTTTTAGGGATAATATCAAAGTAAAATTAATATTTTTATTTTTACCTATGTTGGTCTAAGGGAGAGATTGCTTTATTTGGGATGCGGTGGTCACATGGTCTTTTGGGATGGTGGTCACAAGTGGAGTCAATTTTGATGTTGAATTCTTGACCATCAACAAACTACAGTGTGTGTAGGTCTAGGAACTGCAGATACTTTCCTTGTGTGAACTATCATTTTTTTTTAAAAAATAGCCTTTAATGCTTTTGACCTATTTGTTTATGATAGGAAAATTGACTTGTTAATTTAAAGATAGAGTCAAATCTGGAAAATAGTACACTGGCTGTAATTATGGAATTTGTAATATTGAATTCCTATTTGTTGGCTATTCAGTTATACTGAACTATAGTTGATCTGTGATTAGTATATGGCAGTCTAGTTGAAGTTGTTCTAATACTTCTTTTCCCATTGCCTTTGAATCAGAAGAAACTTGTTCATGCAGAAGACCCATTTAATGATGAGCGTAAGGAGAGGCAAGAAGTGGAGATGTTGGCTAAGAAGTTTGAAATGAAATATGTGAGTATGATAGTTTTCACCTAGGTAATTCACCCTGCTGCCCTGCTTTCTGTGAAATATGTGAGTGTGGTAGTCTTCACCTAGGTAATTCACCCTGCTGGCCTGCTTTCTGTGTGTGGCTACTTGGGAGGGCCTATAAATAGCAACTGCTTACTTATCTTGATTTCACAAATTGAAGCTGAATGAATGGTTTTGACAGCCAGACAGTTTTACAGGTTTCTCCTGACTGTTAGTAGGCTGCATTCATTATAGTCCTTCTAGAATCTAGACAGTTTGCTTGATAAATTCTTACAATAAAAACAATAAGGTAAGTAATATTTGCCGTATCTATCTCACAGATGAACATGGTCACACAGGCAGCAAGCACACCCAGCTGTGTGTAGCTCTAACCCTGCTCCACACCTCCACAATGGATAACTGTTCTCCTGGTTCCTCACCCTTGCTCTTTCTTGAGTGAGTGGGTGGACTGTACTTCTAAGCCCTTTGGATCAGAATCCATCAGGATGTATATGAAACTTTGTGTTATATTTGTCTTAAATATTCATGTACTTCCTATATTCTATGCAATGACACTAGTTCTTATTTTAATAGGCAATATGTAAATAATCCATTATAAACATGTTGTTTTCGCGGGCGGTGGTGGCTCATGCCTTTAGTCCCAGCACTTGGGAGGCAGAGGCAGGCGGATCTCTGTGAGTTCGAGACCAGCCTGGTCTACAAGAGCTAGTTCCAGGACAGCCTCCAAAGCCGCAGAGAAACCCTGTCTCGAAAAAAAAAAAAAAAAAAAAAAAAGTTTTCATATAACATTTTCCTCTAATTTTTAGTATAACTGACCCATAGAAAACTCCTATTACTATTCCCTATTGATCCTATGGCTTTAACTACTCTTGGCACTTTAACCCCTGAGTGAGCTAAGAATGAGGCTTCTCTTCTGGTTCCTCATGAGCATTAGAAATGCTTTACAGAGATAGGGTGTCAGTGCTCCCTGGCATCACTATCTCTGTTAGCCTGAAAGTGCAACTCCAGTTGGACTTGACACTTGTTGGCCTCTGCATGAGAGAAATACCTGAGTACGCTGGAATTCGAGTCAGGTTTTATTTAGGCTACTCTTTGCCACCAACAAATTGTGCCCCTTGAGTGAAGTTATTTTGTTCCTTTTTAATTATGTGTTTATTTTTCTTTCATGTGCATTGGTGTCTTGCCTGCCTGTGTGAGAGTGTTAGATAGTTGCCATGTGGGTGCTGGGATTTGAACACTGGTCCTCTGGAAGACCAGCCAGTGCTCTTAACTTTGGAGCCATCTCTTCAGCCCCATGATTTTTTTACTCTAAGCCCAGCTTTCACAGAGAGAGAGACAGGGTTTCAGCAGGTTGCAGCCTTACCTAGAATTCACCGTGTAAATTAAATCTGTCTAGCCTAGAACCTGTAGTGATCCTCCTGCCTCTGCCCTCAAAGAACTGGGATTACTGGCATGCTCTAAACAATGACCACTTCAACTACTTTGTTTATATTACTTTTGGATCACCAAATTTATCACTGTGCTTAAAAAAAAATCCTGACTTAAGCATGAACACTGGTATTCCAAATCTCTAAGATAGAGGAAGCAGATATTTTTCTTTTAAGTAAGAGGAGTTTAAAGCTGTAATTCATCAGCAGTATTAAAGGCTTGGCAAGGAGTTGCTCAGAATCAAAGTTAACTTTAACTGAGCCCCACATGAGGCACTAGGCACTGTGCTGGAAACCTTCCCAGACATTACTAAATTTATACCCAATTCTAGACACAGGAGTTTTCACCAGGTTGTGGTGGTGGTACACATCTTTAATCCCAGCACTTGGGAGACTGAAGCAAGCAGATCTCTGAGTTCAAGCCTGGTCTACAGAGGGAGTTCCAGGACAGCCAGAGCTGTTACACAGAGAAACCCTGTGTAACTCCAAAATAAAATAGGAGTTTTCAAGACATGTGGGGTAAAAGAGGTGGGAAAACCACCAAGAATAATCTTGTGAGCATCACAAGTTATGCTGTGTCCTATTAAACTTAAGAGAGCAAGTCAAACCCATGAAGATGAGCCTTGTATGCTTCCTGACACACACCACCTACAAACACCAGAACCTCCGACACCGGAAACCTCAGCAAGGAGAGACAGAAAGATTATGAGCTTTAGGCCACCTTGGGCTACAGAGTGAGACTGTCTTAAAACAAAAAACAAAACACCAGAAAAAAAAAAAACCTCACTACACATTAGTCTGAATTTTTTGGTATCTTTTCTTTTATAACACCTACCATTTCATCTTTTTTAGTGAAGAGCCTCAGAACAATTACCCAGAAGGACTCTTTTTTTTTTTTAAGATTTTATTTATTTATTTATTATGTATACAATGTTCTGCTTGAACATTTGCCTGCGTGTCAGAAGAGGGAAGAGGGCACCAGATCTCATTATGGATGGCTGTGAGCCACCATGTGGGTGCTGGGATTTGAACACTGGTCCTCTGGAAGACCAGCCAGTGCTCTTAACTTTGGAGCCATCTCTTCAGCCCCATGATTTTTTTACTCTAAGCCCAGCTTTCATGTCAGTAAACTGAGAGTTTTTTTTTTTTTTTTTTTTAAGAGTCCTTCTGGGGGCTTCAACGTCTTTAAATTTCTATACACCTATTGTGAAACAGCAGATTTAGGACATGTGGAAGATTTTATACCCATAAATGGTTGTTATCAAAGTGTTTCTCTTCTGTTGACTATACTGATTTATTTAAAACTGTATGTCTTTTTACTGAAAGGTTGAAATCAGCATGGATTAAAAAAATGCAATTGTAGATATAAAAAGATGGAACTATAGAAGGCTGTGGTATATACATTGAGAAGCTTTGTAACTAGGGTGTTGTTCTTCTGGTTGTAGATTGGAATCCTATCAATTAATGTCCTGCTTGCCCTGTCTGCCATAAGTGATCAGTGAATGTTTGTGCCATTTTATTGTCACAGAGGCAGTGGGGGTCCTGTGCTAGGAATGTCCTGTTTGTTTTTCAGTTTACTGATGTTGTAATCCCCCAGCATTGGCTTGAGATACTGATTATCAGGTTAAGCCAGTAGTAGTGACTCAGTAGGTAATAGTCTGAGTCATTGTGGGGTGCTTGGAAAAAGAGCTTTAAAGAGGGTTCTTCATTGGAGATGTAACAAAATGGAAGTTTTTGTTTTGTATTTCGAGACAGGTTTCTCTGTGTAACAGCCCTAGCTGTCCTGGAACTGGATTTGTAGACCAGGGTGGCCTTGAACCTGCCTCTCCCTCCCAAGTGCTGGGATTAAAGTCGTGTGCCACCACACCTGGTTCAAAATGGAAGATTTTAAAATTTATTTCCATAAATAAATCTTGATTTCTTTAAATAAGATCTACTTGTTGTATAAACTGTACAGTATAAAAGGGTTTAGAAAATATTGAATTAAGACTGATTGTAAAAATACTGAAAAAGAGTGATTCAAAATGGGGCGTGTGTGGGAGGACACATTGCTAATTTGTCTTGAGTTCCTTTAGGTAAAACCTTAATGTTTTTAATTCACAGTGCATATGCTCCTTTTGGGCATTGGTTGAATGTGTTGTTCCAAGGCAGACATGATGGTGCACGAGTTATCTTAGTGTTAGGATGCTGAGGTAGGGAGAACAAGTTTTAAGAACAGCTTAGGTTACATTGCAAGTCCCAGCTGTGGGACTTGAATTACAGATGTGTATAACTGTCATGTGGGTGCTGGAGTCAAACCCCAGATCCTCTGCAAGAGCAACAAGTGCTCTTAACTGCTGAGCCATCTCTATAGCCACATGTTTTTAATTTTAAAAGAAAAAAAATTGTATTTCATGTGGTGTGTGTTTGGGTACACACATGCATGTCACATGTGTGGGTATCAGAGGACAACTATCTTTTTTCTCATTCTACTCTATAGGTCTTGGGAATCAAGCTTATTTTTCTAGCTTGGCAGCAAGTGTCTTTACCACTGAGCCATCATTGTCGGCCTTCAGATGTTTAATGAATACTTTTAATGTCCTTTTTGTGAATACCCTGGATTGTGAATACGATTTAACAAATTGCTTTTCTTCTGTATTTATAGTCTTTTGCCATATTGTTTTTTAAATGGCTGTTAGCATTGAATGGTTATGCCATAGTTGATATGATTTATAGTTATGTCATTTGAGCTATTATTGACAGGATTTTAGTGAGATTACAGATTAATATTATAGTCAAAGTTTAAGTTAATTCTTTTTGATAATCTCTTTAAGATTCACACTTAAAATTAAAAGGGTTCACACCAATTTTTCAACACTTCTATTCTGATCCATTGAGCACTAATGAAAACAAGTCAGTTTTAGTGGCAACAAGTTGGTGACCTTGTCTAGACACACATACTCCTAAGTCCAATTACCAATAAGCTGTTTGCTCTTCTGTATTTGCTTACCACAACACACTGTGCATTTGCTGTTTGTTTTGTTTTTAGATGTCCCCAGGCAAATTATAGTCACCTAGCTGTACCTTGCTCCCCTGCCTGAAAGTATTTGATGAAAATAGTGGTTGTGGTTTTATTTGATGGTTTGGTTTGGTTTTTTGAGACAGGGTTTCTCTGTGTAGCTTTGGGGCCTATCCTGGCACTCGCTCTGGAGACCAGGCTGGCCTCGAACTCAGAGATCCTCAGAGATCTGCCTGCCTCTGCCTCCCTAATGCTGGGATTAAAAGCGTGCGCAACCAACACCCCGCTTAGTGGTTGTGATTTTAATTAGCATCCTAGAGAAAAATTTAAGATCCATGCTGAACTGTGAGAGGCAGCAGGAAGTGTGAGGAAAGATAAGCACATGTGCTTAGGGCCAGAGTTTCAGTGGACCAAAAGCTCATGCCAGAAAATCATAAAAGAAAGCGGGTAGGCAGTCAGAGTTACTGTGCAGAAAGCTTTGAATTGTGAATGTTAAGGCTTTTGGTTTTGTCAAGTAATAAGGATGTTTCCGAGGCAGGAGATTACAGGAAGTGATATTTTTGAAATAGTCATTAGATGTAGTAAAGGTAAAATTGAGGGAAATGAGGCAAGCCAAGGGATTGAATAGGTTTAGGTAAAAACAATGACCAGCGTGCTAGACCTGGCTGTTAGAATGGAGGGAAGCTGGAGGTGTGACTAAACCAATAAACAAAGGTTCTTGGGAGACAGGATTGAAGTTGAAATGATGATTCTTGGTTTAATCCCAGCTCTGGTAAAAAATTTAAAAGTTAGAAGGGAGAGCTTGAGAAGGAAGGTAGTTTGTTAAAGGAGAAAGAAAATGACAGACTTTGAAGGTCAAAATTATTGAAGTGTCATTTAACTCTTACTCAACAATTTTATTTGTACAACTTGGTGAGTTTTAATAAAGGCATGCAGTCTGTGTCACTACAGCCATGTAGGCCAGTTTTATCTCCCCACAGTTTATATATATATATATAATATATATATATATTTGAAGACAGTCTGCTACCTCTCTGGCAACCTCTGGTCTGATTTTGTTTCTGAAGGTTTTAGTTTTCTGGAATTTCCTGTAAGTGGACCATGCCCGTGTGTGGCTTCTTTGGTTGAGCATGGTGCCTTTGAGAGTCATCTGTGTGTCTCGTGTGTCAGTGGGCCTTCCAGTTTTGTTTTTTTTTTTAAAGATTTTATTTATTTATTATGTATACAACATTCTGCTTCCATGTATATCTGCACACCAGAAGAGGGCACCGGTGCTCACAACGGATGGTTGTGAGCTACCATGTGGTTGCTGGGAATTGAACTCAGGACCTCTGGAAGAACAGCCGGTGCTCTTAACCTCTGAGCCATCACTCCAGCCCGGGCCTTCCAGTTTTATTCATTCAGCAAATGAGGGCTGTTGTGGTGTTTTCAGAGTTTGGGTTTTTTTTTTTTATATATAAAAGATATTTTTCTATTTTCTGCACATGTGGAGGTCAGAGGATAACCTGCAGGAGTTAGTTTCCTGGACCAAATGCACGTCACTAGACTTGGCTACAGCGAGGCTCCACATGCAGAACAATCTCACTGGCCCCAGTTTTTAGTTTTTGACCATTTCCCATAAACCTGTTCAAAAAAAAAAATCACAGCATATATTTTATATTAACATATAGTTTCAATCTGGGCATGGTGGCTGATACCTATAACCTCATCACTTGGGAAGCTGAGGCAGGAGAGTTGTCACAGTTGTTCAGGTCACCCTTGGGCTATGTATTATTAACTTACCTTTCTGGGGGTTTTGTTTTGTTTTTGAGACAGGGTTTCTCTGTGTAGACTTGGCTGCCCTGGAACTCCCTCTGTAAACCAGACTGGCCTCGAACTCAGAAATCCTCTTGCCTCTGCCTCCTGAGTGTTGGGATTAAATGTGTGTGTCACTACTGGTTGGTGTGATAACCTCTCTTTAAAATATGTGTGGACAGTGAGATGACTAGCAGATAAAAGCATGTGCTGCTAAGACAGATGATGACCTGAGTTTGATCCCTGGAACCTACACAGTAGAAGAAGTGTAGCCTTTTTCTTCCTCAAGCCCCATTTTCTTTGCATTTAGTTTTTATTGAAGCCACATTCCTTGTTTTCCTTTCCCCTAAACAGGATTGGGAGATGGTTAAAAATCATAGTTGGATTAGAATCCGTAAATGTAAATATGGCTTACAAAATGAGGCTTACAAGCCGAACTCCCATACTTGTGTTCATGGTACCAGCGGAAGGCTGCTTCCTGTTTAAACTATTTATCCCAAGTTATATGGAACTTTGAGAGTTCAAGAAACATTTTGTATCTGAGATATAATGAGGTCTATGCTCTGATCAGCCAGGGTCAAAGTATGGTATAACTTGAATAATGCAATCTCCAAGAATGGTTTGTTTTGCTTTAGAAACATTTCATTTAAAAATAATTAGAGTCACAAGTTTCAAATACAGTAGAGGAGACTCTTGATGCTCAATACTCCCAGTGGTTATAACTCACATAACTGCAGTCATCAAAACTGGAGAATGGAAGCCAGGAGGTGGTGGCGCACGCCTTTAGTCCCAGCACTCCGGAGGCAGAGGCAAGTGGATCTTTGTTAGTTCAAGGCCAACCTGGTCTCAAAAAATGAAAAAATAAAAACAAACAAAAAAAATGGAGAATGGACCTTGGCACAGTACCCTTGAGAATAGGCTAGACAACACATCTTGATCTGACTTTACCAGTTCCCATAGGTGCTTGTTTTTCATATTCCTGTATGTCTGTGTGTGCAATTATATAACATTTAGGTATAACTTTTAAGAATAATTTTTGGGGACTGGAGAGCTTGTTCAGTGGCTAAGAGCATGTAGTGCTCTTGCAGAGGACCTGAATTTGGTTCCCAGCATCCCCATTGGGTGGCTCACAACTCTGTAATACCAGTTCAGAGGATCTGATGCCCTCTTCTAACTCGAGAGCACACATACACACATACACACATACATATATACATACATACATACGTATGTATGTATGCACACAGACTCTGTCTCTCTCTCACACACACAGAGAGGCTCAGCGGTTAATTAAGATCCCTTGTTGATCTTACAGAGAACGCAGGTTAAGTTCTCAGAACCCATAATTAGCTCCAGTTTCTAGAAATCCATTCTCTTCTGACTTCTGAGGGAAACCAAGCATGCACATGTGTACATATATATATTCAGCCAAAACACTCATCCATATAAAATATAATTTATTTTTTTTTTTCCCCGAAACAGGGTTTCTCTGTGGCTTTGGAGGCTGTCCTGGAACTTGCTCTGTAGACCAGGCTGGCCTTGAACTCACAGAGATCCACCTGCCTCTGTCTCCCGAGTGCTGGGATTAAAGGCGTGTGCCACCAACGCCCTGCTATAAAAAGTATTTTTAAGAGTGACTTTTACTTACTGTGTGTGCACATGAGCCACTTTCACACAAAGCTGCCAGTGTGGAGGCCAGAGCATACGTGAGAGAGAGTGAGCTCTCTCCTTAGGCTTATCTATCTAGATGGACTGTTTTGGAGACAGGTTAGCTCTGGCTGCCCCAAAACTTATTTGTAGACCAGGCTGCCTTGAATTCACAGAGATGCACCTGTCTCTGCCTCCCCAGCATTGGGGTTAAAGGTGTGTGCCTCCACTGTCTGGCTGGGTTACAGGTTTTTGAAAGGTAACTTTTACCATGTCAAGGATAGATGCTGTCAACTTGATTTCCCATTGCCAGAGCTGACTGTGTGGTGGAAGAAGTGTCGGCAGATTTTCCACCTCATAGCTACTTTGCCTTGTTCTGCTCTGAGGAAGCAACCACTTAAGTGCAGTTTACATGCAAGGTTGCCTACAGAAGGTTCCTCTACAAAAATTATGTGAATTCTTCTAATAGGTCTTTCTTTTAAATTTATGGAAACAGTACAGGCATTGAATAAGTCTAATGTATCTCTTTTTTGCAGGGTGGGAAAGCCCGTAAACACCGGAAGGATCGACTTCAAGATTTAATTGATATAGGCTTTGGCTATGATGAGACAGATCCGTTTATTGATAACTCAGAGGCCGTGAGTAACTTATCTTTGCTATGGCAGTAAACTCTTGGCAGTGGAAGTCAAGGCAGAGTAACGTAAAATATTTCAATAGACGTTTTATTTGTGCTTCTAGAAACTTTTATAGCTTGAAAGATTTTTAAAAAAATACTGCAGATGTAATGTTGACTTGTTCATGGTAAGTTGTTACTATGTTGCTGTCATAGGCCAGATTTTGGCAAACTATAGAGGGCTGTGTGTGATAAATATTTTACGCCATATGGTGTCTGTTACAGCTCTTCGACTGTAGCATGAGAGCAATCATAGAGAGTACGTAAGTGCATTAGTGTGGCAGGGTAAGAGTAAAACGTTACTGATAGACTGTGAAATTTAAACTCATATAATTTTCATGTATCATGAAATACTTAATCTGATGTTTTCCCACCACTTAAAAAATGAAAAATTTGGGGCTGGAGAGATGGCTCAGCAGTAGAGAACCCTGGCTATTCTTCCAGAGGTCCTGAGTTTAATTTCCCAGCAACCACATGGTGGCTCATCTATAATGAGATCTGGTGTCCTCTTCTGACCTGCAGGGAAACATCAAACAGAACAATGTATACATAATGAACAATTAAATCTTTTTTTTTTTTAAAGCAATATTCATTTCTGGTCGGTGGGGTAAGAAACTGTTAGGCTGAACTTAGCCAGCAAGTATTGGTTTGCCAGTAAGGTAGTAGACCATTACATGTAGTTTGCTGTGGTTTCAGGTCCTGCAAGAATCTTTTGAGACTAATAGTTGTTTATTTTCAGGTACATAGTTAGCATTAATTCCTGAAGAAATCATTAATCCTTGCCCAAACTGAGAAGATAATTTTAATTAATTTGTTTATTTTGGTTTTTCTAGTCTGGGTTTCTCTGTGTAGCCCTGGGTGTCCTGTAACTCACAGAGATCCCCTGCCTCTGCCTCCTGAGTGCTGGGATTAAAGGTGTGCGCCACTACCATCCAGCAATTAGTAAAGTTTTAAAAAAGGAAAAAGGCATGGAGTTGTACATCTGCAATCCCAGAACTGATAGAGACAAGGAAATCAGAAGCTCAGGGTCCTTCTTGAGTATATAGTAAATTGAGGGTAGTCTGGGACCTGTTTAATACATGAGACTGTTTATAAATGTGAGCACTCAGCGGGAGGTGGTGGTGCACACCTTCAATCCCAGCACTTGGGAAGCAGAGGCAGGTAGATCTCCATGAATTTGAGGCCTGCCTGATTTGTAGAGTGAGTTCCAGAACAGCCAGGGCTACACAGAGAAACCCTGTCTTAAAAAAAAACAAAACAAACAAACAAAAAAACAAAACCAAAAACCCAGAAAACAAGAACACATGCAAGCACACACTGTCATAAGCACATAAGTATATGAACTTTTTCACTTTCTCACAATTGTTACTGGGATTTCTTTGGTTTTATTTATCTAGCTTTTAAAAGAAACATTGATGGTTCTGGGGAGATGACCCAGTTGAAAAAAATATCTGCCATGCAAGCATAAGAACTTGAATTTAGATCTCCAGCACCCACATAAAAGCTAGGCACTGTAGTGCCCAGCATTGGGCAGGCAGATTCTGGGGTTCACCAGTTAGCCAGTCTGAACAAAGCAGAGAGTTCCAGGTTCAGTGAGAGACATAAAAGATGACAAGAGACTGAAGAAGACCCCTAACATAGATCTCTGGCTTCCATATACTCTGCACAGGACAGTGCACCTCATATACACATATGTAACATACAGTACATAAACAAATAAGTTACACTTATGATAAATCAGCAATAAAGCATAAGATGATTATGAAGTAAAGTATTCCCCAAATATCCTCCACCAGAAGTAAACATGAAACTTCTTTTGTAGTCATCAAGAAATTTTGTGTTTAATAAACATTCAACATGTATATCTTTGTAAAAAAAATAAACAAATATTATGTATTTCAAATATTCTTATTGAAATTCAACATTTTAATGGTATTCATGTATTACCAATACTTATATTAAATGTTCTTTTCTATTGAAATTCAACATTATACTGCTATCTATATATTAGTGCATAGATATACTTTTTTTTTTTTAAAGATTTTATTTATTATATATACAACATTCTGCTTCCATGTATATCTGCACACCAGAAGAGGGCACCAGATCTCATTATAGATGGTTGTGAGCCACCATGTGGTTGCTGGGAATTGAACTCAGGACCTCTGGAAGAGCAGCCAGTGCTTTTAACCTCTGAGCCATCTCTCCAGCCCGATATACTTCTTTAATATATAGTTACTTAACTAATTTTAATTAATGTAATTTTTAATTCCCAGGGTTATGTGTTTGAAGGTATTTGAGTGTCTTGTGTTGCATTCATCTACTTAAATAAATGTATATTCAGGATATTTTACAGAGTTCAAATACATGGTTGAGGCAAATTGCTAGTCGTGGGTACATACTGAACTTCTATTGAAGTAAGCTTGGGGAGGTATATTTTGGAGTGACTTGTAAAACGAGAGCCAGGTATTCCTTTTGGCAGATACCTACAAAACCTATTTATATGTTTTCTGCCTGCCTTACTACAATGGTTGTATTTAAGCACCAGCCTTTATCACCAGTATGTTTTGATCAAATTCTGTAACTTTGGCTCTAGTATCTATTTTCTCTTATGAAAGGAAGATGAACGTAGGACAACATATAAGAATTATTAGTACTCTGTCTTGTAGCACGTGAATTAAGGCTTGTCATATTTTGTGGTAGGTAAGGTCTATATTCTTCTGTTCTTATTTGGGTATTAGATTACTCTAATGCCTAGGATTATGATATTCTCTAGGGTTATGATGTCTTCTGCAGTGTGTGGTGATTGCTTGTGGTATTTAGGAAGTGACACTAGTTAAATACTTTGATTCGCAAATTACAGCTTTTGCATGGTGATACATCCCTTGCATAGATGGTGGCAGAGCTCAAAGTGGCAAGAGAGTGAGTGGATTGTCATCGTGCTGCACACTGGACACTATGTTCCTATATACTCGGGTATCTTAGCAAGGCAGACATAAAAGCAATGCCCTTTAGAGTATTAAGAAAGGCCTTGCCATTATGAAAACTGTTAGCAATTGGTGATTTAAGACTGGTATGTTTCTATCTAGACTATTGACTGTTATTTGGAACTCAATGTAGAAATCTTAGGTTGTAGTTTTTATGTTAGTTCCCAATTGGACGTTTGATCAAGAAAACATATGTTAGGGTTACCCAGTTTTCTGTAAAGTTACTATGTCCCAGAATTGCTTTGATATTCAAATAAACTGAATTAAAATATGGTAAAGAGTATTAACAAGTATCAAACATTAGTAATAATGCTAACATGTAGATTTCAAATTCTGATTTACCTAAAAGGAAATTCAGTAATGGAAATTGCATGTACTCATGCTTTTACACAAATACCTTTTTTTCTTTTAAGTTAATAAACTGTGTTTTAGAACAGGCTTTTTTGTTTGTTTGTTTGCTTTCCAGACAGTGTTTCTCGCTATAGCTCTGTAGACCAGGCTGGCCTCGAACTCACAGAGAGCTGCCTGCCGCTGCCTCCCGTGTGCTGGGATTAAAGGCGTGTGCCACCAACCCCCCGGCCTAGAACAGGTTTTTAGTTTTTTGAGACAGACTCAGCTCTGTAGCTTTGGATACCTTGGAACATACTATGTAGAGCAGGCTGGGCTTGAACTCAGAGATCTACCTGGGTTACCATGCCCAGTTGGAACAATTTTAGATTCACAGCAAAACTGGACAGCACAAAGAGCTTCCATATCTACCCTTACTCTACGCACGCACGCACGCACGCACGCACCACCCTCCTTTACAATTAATATACAGTACCAGTATGGTGCACCTGTTATAGCTGGTGAACCTACACTGTTAATGTAAGGACTCAGGCATTATGCTGGCCCGCCCCTGTCACCTGGCAGAATGCACTCAGGCAGTACCCTGGTCAGCCCAGGACTCCATGACTACCTGTCTGCACACAGATGCAAAGGACCCTTTAAAAGAAAGACACCACCCCCTTCAGCTCTCTCTTTCCTGTTGTTCCCTAGAGCAGACAGGACTTTTCCTGTCTCCCTCTTCTCTTCTGTCCTCTCTCTGTCTCTGTGTTTGTCTTTTCTCTTTTCTTCCCCTTCCCTTTCTAATAAAACTTCTCACTTAAGCTCTGTCTGCCCCGTCACCCTCAGGTGCCATGGAATCTACCAAGGTTCGACACGTGCTTTATCATAACAGTTATCACCTAATTTCATATTTGGTATCTGCTCGTATGACAGATTCTGTAAGTTTAAACTAATGTTTATGTTATATGTCCACCATTATAGTACCATACAGAGAAGTTTCATTCTAAAAATTCTCTGTGCTCTGCTGTTCATTCTTCCCAACCTCCTGGTTTCTTGCAATCTCTAATGCCTTCAGGTTTTTGTTTTGTTTTGTTTTGTTTTGTTTTGTTCTTTTGGCTTTTTGAGACAGGGCTTCTCTGTGTATCACTGGCTGTCCTGGAACTCCCTCTGTAGCCCAAGTTGGCCCTTGCCTCTGCTTCACAAGTGCTGGGATTAAAGGTACCACCATTGCCCTGCTCAGTTTTGACTTTTGTTTGTTTGTTTGGTTTTTCAAAGACAGGGTTTCTCTGTGTAGCTTTGGAGCCTGTCCTGGGACTCACTCTGTAGACCAGATATGCCTTGAACTCAGAGATGCACCTTGCCTCTACTCCCCGAGTGCTGGGACTAAAGGCCTGTGCCACCAATGCCCAGACAGTTTTGACTTTTTAAGGGTGCATTGTAGTGGAAACCAAATAGTAGATTTCCATCAGTTTTTAATATAATTTGTAGTATTTAGACTATTTGAATAAACCACTTTTCAGATTTAATTTTTCAGCTAATATCTGGATTCTGTATCAGTTTCGACCACATGACTGTAAGTTACTTATTTGTATGAGTGTTTTCTATATGCACAACATGTATGCTTAATGTGAGTGGAGGTCAGAAGAAGACATAAGGTCTCGTAGGAATGGAGCAAGAGTCGTGAGCCACCATGTGGGTGCTGGGGATCAGATCTGTCAAATTAATACTCTTAACTGCTGAGACATCTCGCCAGCCCTGACTAGTATCTCAAAGAAAACAAAATCAGGGGCTGGACAGATGCTCAATGGTTAAGAACATTGGCGACTCTTCCAGAGGATGCAGATTCAGTTCCCAGCACCCACATGGCAGCTCACAGCTGTCTCTAACTCTACTATCTGACACCATCACACAGATACACATGTAGACAAAAATACCAATGCAAATGAAATAAAAGTAAATAGATTATTAAAAGAAAACCAAAATCAATTTAAAAAGGTCCTCTCATGGATGATGTCATTTTCATTGCGTGTATATCCTAGGTTTTGGTATATATTTTTTGCACTTGGGTTGGAGTGAAGAAAATTTGAAAGCTGCTGCTTTTTTTGTTGTTGTTAAATACTTTATTTAACTTTATTTTATGTGCATTGATGTAAGAATGTCAGATCCCCTGGAACTGGAGTTACAGACAGTTGTAAGCTGCCATGTGGGTGCTGGGAATTGAACCTGGGTCCTTTGGAAGAGGATCCAGTGCTTTTAACCTCTGAGCCATCTCTCCAGCCCCCAATTTGCAGATAATTTGTTTGTTTGTTTGTTTGTTTTTTCAAGACAGGGTTTCTCTGTGTAGCTTTGGAGCCTATCCTGGCACTTGCTCTGGAGACCAGGCTGGCCTTGAACTCACAGAGATCCGCCTGCCTCTGCCTCCCCAGTGCTGGGACTAAAGGCGTGTACCACCGATGCCCAGCAAGCTTTAATATTGCCGTGACAAGGATGTTTTCTTCCTTTTCAGATTTATTTAAAATTTTATTTTATGTAAATGGGTATTTTACCCAAATGTGTCTCCACCACATGTGTGCCTTGTGCCCACATAGGTCAGAGGGCATTGGATCCCCAGAAACTTGAGTTAGGGATGATTGTGAGTCACCATGTGGATGATGGGACTAGAACCCTAGGTCCTCTGTAAGATCAGCAAATGCTGTAACTACTGAGCCATCTCTCCAGCCCCAAGGATGTTTTCTTTAAAACTAATCAAAGTGTAATCTGAAGAATCGTTGGAGTAGAGAGGCATCCTGGTTACTGGTATCTAGTACTGCTCGGTACAGAGTACTGTTTTTACTCTCAAGGTAACACTTTGATTGCTTAAGATTGGCCTCCATTTAATATTTGCTTTTTTGTCCATCCCTACTGGGTGAAATAATGATAAACTTTAAACTATGTATTTTTGAAGGAGTGATATAAGTTAGTTCCCAGCACTAACATGTACCTGGCTCATGTCACATCCTAAACTATATTGTTAAGATAAATCTTTCTGCCAAAAGCCTCCTGAGCCCCACTGCCACGTGTGAGCTTTAAGCCAGCCGCCCGCCTGAGTTAGGGCCCAATGAATACACAGAAAGTTGTATTAGGTACAATGCTGCTTGGCCAATGACTAGGATTCTCATCGGTTAGCTCAGTCTTAATTATCATAAATCTATATATTTTATAAGAATTACCTTATCGGATGCCTTATTGGCATCCTCCCTTGCCGGTGGATCACATCCTGCCACTGGAGCAAGAGCGGAGGGGAAAAGGGACCCTTTCTGTTTCTCCTTCGCTTAAATATGAGTCTCCTTGCTATGTCACTTCCTGCCTGGATCAGCGCTTCTCTACTACATTTTCCAGAATCCTCTTTGACTCCTGCTTCCATCTAACTTGCTGTCTCATTGCCCAAACAGTATTTTATTCAACAATCAATAAGATAAACATACACAGTACATTCCCCATCAGTATATCTTTATTGGCTAAGTAGTTGTTTTTCTGTTTTCCTTAAAAAACGTATTTCTAAGCTGGGCAGTGGTGACGTACACCTTTAATTCCAGCAATTGGGAAACAGAAACAATGAAATCTCTTGAATTCAAGGCCAGCCTACAGAACTAGTTCCAGGATAGCCAGGAATACACAGAAAAACCCTGTCTCAGAAAAAAAAAGAAAGAAAAATTCTACTTGTACATAGAGGCATCACAAAGAATTTTATCATTCTGTACCATCTTATTAAGATTACAATCAATGGAGTTTTTAAGGACTTGCTTCTTGTCTGAATGTTTAGTTCTCTGTGCTAGTTTTTCAACTCTTCACTAGAACTTCTGTCAAGAAGGAGAGTGGTAAGGTCTATTTTAAGTCCCTGGTTTGTATGAGATGCTTATAAAGGCCTTATTTTGGCTTGTTGGATGTGTGTATGGGACATCATGCAACAAATAAACTGGAGTTTTATTTTGTTGAATTCTAACAAAAATCAAAAGAACAGTAGCCAGGGGAAGGGGGAAGAAAGAACAGTACCATTAATCCTAAGTTTATCATCAGAGCATCAATCAGAATTCTTCCAGAAATTTCTCTCTTAAATATACTGAATGATCACCAGGTGTGGTGGCGCACGCCTTTAATCTTAGCAGAGGCAGGCGGATCTCTGTGAGTTTGAGGCCAGCCTCTTTGATAGCCAGAGCTGTTACACAGAGAAACCCTGTCTCAAAAAAGAAAAACAAACAAAAAATACTGAATGATCACAACTGCTTTTTATTCCACATACTAACTTTTTCTAAACTTACTCTAGGAACATCATTATCAGAGTTTTGATCTCTTTGGCATACTGATTTCATGCCCATTTGGGAGTGGGCACACTCCCAGTAGTGGAATTGCTGCATTTGCAGTTACTGTTTAAGAAAATAGTCAGTAAATGCCATTGTTCGACATGTTTGTAGAATTATAGACAAGAGAATATATTTGAAACTTTTTTTTTGCTCCAGTATGACGAATTAGTCCCTGCTTCTCTAACAACAAAATATGGAGGCTTCTACATCAACACTGGTACTCTTCAGTTTCGCCAAGCTTCAGATACTGAAGAAGATGATATTACAGATAACCAAAAGCACAAGCCACCCAAGGTGAGTTTGACATCTCAGTGATAAGAACATAGAATTAATATTAAATGCTTTCTATTATATTTTGTTTATATTTTTGCTGTACTAAAAATTGAGCCAGAAAGCTAAAAAGTATTATTCTAAGCTACACTAACCAGATCAGGATTTTTTGATTATTCCTTTTTTTTTATTGTTGTATTATTATTGTGTTGTATATTGTATTGTTGTATGCCATACTTTTGAGAATTGTATTTCTCCTTTCACCGTGAACTCTGGGGATTAAACTCAAGCGATTAGGCTTGCATGGCAAGCATTTTACCTGCTGAGCCTTCTTGCTGGCCCCAGAAGATACTTCTTTTTTTTTTTTTTTTTTTTTTTTGAGACATTATATCTCATTTTATAGCCCTGTCCTGGAACTTGCTGTGTAGATCAGGCTGTCCTCAAACTCACAGAGATCCACCTGCTTCTGCCTTCTTAGTACTGTGATTAAAGGCATGCGCCACCACACTTGGCCTCAAGTTAGACTTTTTAATATTATTTGTGTCACAATCCTGAATGTAAATAAAAATAAAATACTATGGTTTCGTGAAATTGTACTTAATTATGTGTATATAATCATGTTGGTGTGAGCTGGGCATATAGTTTATAGTGCTTACTTCCTGTGCACAAGGCCCTGAGTTTGATTGCCACACTATTTAAAAGACAGGGAAAACCCCAGACAAACAGTCTTTAATCCTAGCATTTGGGAGGCAGAGTCAGGTGGATCTTAGTGAGTTCAAGGTCAGCCTGATCTTAACATAGCCAGCTAGGGCTATAGTGTGAGACCCTGTCTCCAAAAATTAAAACAGCAAAACAGGCAAGAAAGTATACAAGAACTATTCATAAGCATTAGCTTCCCTCAGATCTGATTTGTAGCAACTTTTGTTGTAGAAATTAATATTGTCCATAGGTGTTTCCTGCTATGTGGTCAAACACTTTATTTGTACCAGAATCAGTAAAAATCCTTATTTAAAATGTAAACTCTAAGGCCCCAGTGAACGGAATCAAAGCTACGGTTGAAAGGCTGGTGAGATGTCTTGATTGATAAAGAGCTTGCACTCTTGCATGAGAAACTGAATTTGGATTCCCAGTGCCTATCTAAAAGCCTAGCATGGTGGCACACACCTGTAAACCAAATCCTGGAGCAGCACAGACAGACAGAAGGATATCTGGGCTTGCCCACAAGCCCATCTAGCTTAATTGGTGACCTGTCTGAAATAAGGTGGAATATAATGAAAAATGCACCCATTGTCTCCCTTTGGTTTCACATGCATCTGCACTCTCACACAGTCACACACACAACAGTAGCAACAAAAACATCGGCAAGAGTGCTCATTGGCCCTGAGAAACTATACTTTCAGCAAATAATTTCAACAGATACTTTAAAAGACCACTACCTTAGATGCTGTATTGCTAGCATCAAAGAGGAAAATATTGACACTTGGATAAATGATATGTTTTCTTATCGTTTTATAGGTTCCCAAAATAAAAGAAGATGATATTGAGGTAAAAAAGAGGAAGCGGAAAGAGGAAGGGGAAAAAGAGAAGAAGCCAAGGAAAAAAGTACCCAAACAACTAGGGTATGCTAAATTAAGACTGTTAGGAAATTAGAACCACAATATTATGGTTTCCTTTTAGAAATGTATATATTCATCACTAATGTATTTAGTTATCTCATTTGATAATGACCTACTGTATTTTAAGCAGTACTATTATAAGCAGGAAACTTTGTCATCTTAGAGACTTAACAGTGTTTCAGATTACACTTACAGATTTTTCATTGCCTCTCTTGTTTATTATGACTTTTTAATCTTGAAGAACCAGTTTAAGCCAGATGTGGTGGCTCAAAACTGTATTTCTTTTTTTTTTTATTTATTTATTATGTATACAACATTCTGCTTCCATGTATGCCTACACAGCAGAAGAGGGCACCAGATCTCATAACGGTTGGTTGTGAGCCACCATGTGGTTGCTGGGAATTGAACTCAGGACCTCTGGAAGAGCAGTCAGTGCTCTTAACCTCTGAGCCATCTCTCTGGCCCCCTCAAATCTGTATTTCTAGGAATTGGGAGTTATCCTGAGCTATGTAAGGAGTTTGAGGCCAGCATGGCTATGTGAAACCCTATCATATCATTCAGAAGATGTTAAAGAACGTGATATCATGAAAATATAATTATATAATTTAGTAAGAAATTAAAAAGACATTTTTTTCTGCCATAATCCACATAATTATTTTAGATATTATTTTATTCATTTCCATAGGGCATTAACTTTTAAAATGACACAGCCTAACCAGTCTTTTTTCCTTCACAGAGTTGTGGCTCTCAATTCCCACAAATCTGAAAAAAAGAAGAAGCGAAATAAAGATTCCCTTTATTTGGCTGCCATGATACGAAAATTTCAAAAAGAGAAGGATGCTTTAAAGAAGGAATCTAACCCTAAAGTCCCAGTGACCCTACCAACGTCCTCTGTAACTAAGCCCTCTTGTGCTGCCACAGCCGTGGGGGATGACATCCCAGACTTAAGTTTGAACAGTGCTGACCCAGACCTCCCTATTTTTGTTAGCACAAATGAACACGAATTGTTTCAGGAAGCTGAAAATGCCCTAGAGATGCTAGATGACTTTGACTTTGACAGATTACTGGATGCTGCGTCTGATGGTAGCCCCCTCTCTGAGTCAGGGGGAGAAAATGGAAACGCCACCCAGCCCACCCTCACCGCTCAGGTTATGCCCAAGGTGGTACCTACACTTCCAGATGGTCTACCTGTGCTCCTTGAGAAACGCATTGAGGACCTTCGTGTAGTAAGTGTAATGGTGCTCTTGGTTTTTATTTACTGCACAAACATGTAGTTTAAGTTTTAAGACAAAAACAACCCATAGTCGCAACAACTTATTTTCCGTATCATCTTAGAGACATTCGCTATATATACATAAGTGTTTTATTGAAATTTGCATGGATATACTATACACTTCTTTTTTTTTTTTCTCCTACTGGGGATAGATCCTAATGCTTGCTTATGCATGTAGATAATCACTCTACCACTGAACCACTTCCTAAGCTCTATAGTTGATTCTTTTTTTTTTTTTTAATTTTATTTTATTTTATTAGTTCTAGTTAGGGAACAAGCTTATTTCAAGTCCCTTCCTATAGTTGATTCTTTTTTGTTTCACTTTACCGTACAAAGTTTTCTTCTTACTTGGTTGTATGCGTGTGTGTGCATGTGTGTCTGCACCCAAATGTTCATAGTGCAGAGGTAGGGGTCAGAGGACAACGTGCAGGAATCCATTCTTTTCTTCCAGCATCTGAGTTTTGGAAATCAAACTCAGGTTTTCAGGCTTGATAACAATTCCATTTACTACTGATCCATCTTGCCAACCCCTCCCTTACAAATAACATTTTATATAAGTTTCATAATTTAATTTTTAGGATTTATGTGTATGAAGTGTTTTGCTTGCATGTATGTCTGTGCACCAGGTGTAGATCTAACAAATAAAGCTTGTCTGAAGATCAGAGTGCAAAGCTAACCACACTTGTTAGCCATAGAGGCCAGGCAGTGGTGGCACACAATAATCCCAGCACTTGAACTAACAGTCTGCCTGTGTGTGTGTGTGTGTGTGTGTGTGTGTGTTAATCTGTTACTTTACATCTAGAAGTATCTGCTTTGTAAAGATGAGTATTCCCAAATTACTGAATATGTATTTAAGATTGTAATGTCTTGATGGATTGTCCCTTGGTCAGTATGTCCTTTACTTTAGTGTGAAGTCTGCCTGATGTATTATTGACCATCCTTTCACTCTAAGGTGACTTCTGTCTCTGGTGGTGAGGTTATGTTTCTTGGAGGCAGTGAAGTGATACTGTTTCTTAATCCAATTTGCTAGTGTGTGTCTTTTGGTTGGGGTGTTAAGATCATTGATGTTTAGAGTTATCCTTGAAAGATGTGTATTGATTGCTGTCATTTTGTTGGTTTTATTGTGTTTGTTTTCTTAGGTATTCTGTTACTACTTGAATATGCCTAACTCTTCTGTCCTTTATAATACTGGCTTGGTGATCATAAATCCTTTTAACCCGCCTTTCATCTTGACAAGTTCTCCATTCTCCTTTGATTATTACAAATCTGTGCTGGACTCAGACTTGTGAAACATGTGTGCAAGCCCTTCTGGCTCTATAGTTTCGATTGAAAAATCTGCTGCTGTTTTCATGGGCCTGCCTTTATATGAGACTTTGCTTCTCTCTTGCAGCTTTCAGTTTTCTTTCTTTGTTTTGGATATTGAGTGTTTTGACTAATACATGTTGTCTTCTTTTTGGTCCTGTTTGGTGTTCTTTCTGCCTTTTGCACTTTGGTAGGCATCTTAAATTTGTGAATTTTTTCCCTATGATTTTGTTGAAAATATTTTCTGTAAGGTGGGGCTTGATGGCACACAACTTTAATCCTAGTGCTCGGGAGAGCCAGGTGGATCTCTGAGTTGAAGACTAACTGGTTTACATAGTGAGACCCTGCCTTAAAAGACCAAAAAATGTTAGGCAGTGGTGGTGCACTCCTTTAATCCCAGCACTCAGGAGGCAGAGGCAAGCATGGTCTACAGAGTGAGTTTCAGGACACCCAGGGCTGTTAGAAAGAGACACTCTGTCTTGAAAAACCAAAACGACAAAAAACCAAAGCAAAGCAAAGCAAATGTTTTTTAAAATATTTGCTTTATTTTTCAATTGTGTGTAAATATCGGGGGGGGGGAGGGGGGAGTGAGGCTATACATATGAATGCAATGCCTTCAGAAGCCAGAGGAGTGTTTTGGATGCCCTTGTATTTGAATGTGTGATTTTTCTTTTTTTCTTCTCTCTCTTTTCCTCTTCCTCTCTCTCCTGCTTCTTCATTGTTGTTTTTTGAGACAAGGTTTCTCTGTGTAGCCCTGGTTTTCCTGGAGCTCATTCTATAGATCAGGCTGGAACTCATAGGTCTGCTCCCAATCACAGGGATTAAAGGCATTTGTCCCTGCCCCCCATATGTTACTTTTGTATTGGTGTGATAAAATACCATGACCAAGGCAACTTATAAAAGAGAATATTTAATTTGGGTCTTACATGTAGTTTCAGCAAGTTAGAGTCCATGGTCATCATGGCGGTGGCAGGCAGACTGTATGGCACTGGTGCATAGTTGGGAGCTTACATCCTTATCAGAAAACAGAAGGCAGAGTGATCTGTGAAATGGTCAGGCTTTTGAAGCCTAAAAGCGTGCCACGGGTGACATACCTCTTCTTTGCAAGTTCATACTTCCTAATGCTTCCCAAGCAATTGCACCACGTTTGGACAAAATGCTTAAACATATGAGCCTATGAGAGCAGTGCTCATTCAAAGCAAACCTAATGTGAGTGCTGGGAATGAAACAGGCCCTCCCTCTACAGCAGCAGTGTGTGCTCTCTCACTGCTGAGCCAGCTCTCCAGCTCCAGGTTTGCTTTTTCGTAGCGCGCCACAGTTCTGCATCTGCTTTCTGTGTTTCTCTTTTTCTTTTAGATTTACCATTTCTTCTTGTTCTTCTCCGTTGTCATAATGTTCTTCCACTTGATCACATTTTTAAAAAGCTCTCCATTTAGCTTTTCATTTGACTTACTAAATTTTATTTTGGTTTGGGTTTTCTTTAGAAGTCTTATCTCTTTATTAAATTCTGTTCTTTCTTCATTTCATTTGGCTCTTTGTGTTTTCGCAGTCTTCAGTCCAGCATTTATTCATAGCTCCTTTTAGTTCCTTGGACATATCTATTTTATTTAAATTAAAGACAATCTTATTTTACATACCAATCCCAGTTCCCTCTCCCTCCCATCCTCCTATGTCCCCCACTGATCCCTCCCTCCATTCACTCCCCAGGGAGGGTGAGGCCTCCCATGTGGGATCATCAAAGTCTGGCACATCATTTGGGGCAGGACCTAGGTCCTCCCCTGTGTGTCTAGGCTGAGAGAGTATCCCTCCATAGGGAATGGGCTCCCATAGTCCATTCATGCACTAGAGCTAAATACTGGCTCCACTGCCAGAGGCCCCATAGACTGCCCAGGCCTCCTCAGGTGGCGTACTGTTTATGGTTTTTGTTTGTTTGGTTGTTTGATTGGTTGGTTGTCTTTTTTGATTGTTCTGGCATTTGAATCCAGGGTTTTGTGCATGCTAGGCAGGCACTGCACTGTTGAGTATAGCCATAACTCTTAATTTGAGGCTGCTTTTTCTTCAGTTTTCTTGACAGTCCTGTATATGAAGTGAAAGCATTATTTTCCTTTAAGAAACTGAAGTGGAGAGTGGCAAAATAATTCAGCAGGAGCACATGTCTTGCAAATAACAAAAGTCTCCTCTCTCTCCTTGACACTTTCTTCATTCCCTGTTGCCCCATCCCTCATCTCTTGGGTTTCTTCTAGATTTTAAAAAACACTGGTGATGTGATTCAAATTATCAAGATGTAATATTAGGTAATATTAGTAATATTAGGTAATGTTTATTTAGCAAAAATAAAACAAACCAAAATTCAATTAAGGTACAGCATGGTTGAATGGTATTCTCAAAGCCATCTATTTTGTTTGTTTTTTTTACGCCTTCTAATTTTCAAGTTGCCCAAATTCAAAGTCACGACAGTGGCACTGCATAGCATGCACACTGTCATTTTTTATACACTTTCAGGGTAGCTGTGGACATGCTCTGGTCTTAAAAAGCTTTGTGATATCTTAAATCAAGAGATACCTGTCTCTGTAGTGGCCACGACAGGGTCAATAAAGCCTTTTCCTAAGCCCCTAGTAAGAAATTAATAGTAGGATTCACTTACTGTTATACCCTGTTGTACAATATTACTTTAACTAAGCAACGATGTGTTACTTTTTTTTTGGTTGTTTGTTGGTTTTGGTTTTTCAAGACAGGGTTTCTCTGTATAATAGCTCTGGCTGTCCTGGAACTCACTTTGTAGACCAGGCTGACCTCAACTCATTCAGAGATCTGCCTGCCTCTGCCTCCTCAGTGCTACGAATAAAGGTGTGCACCACCAACGCCCAGCTGTGTTACATTTGTTTTACTTGCTTGCCTGTGGCACCTGATTGGTCTAATAAAAAGCTGGGCACCCAATAGCCAAGTAGGGAAGGAATAGGTGGGGCTGGCAGACAGAAGGAAATAGTAGAGGAATCTAGGTTCAAAAACTGAGGGGAGAAGGAGGGAGAAAGAGGAGGAGACACCAGGGGCCAGACAGACAGACATGGAGTAGCACAGGCAGAACGGAAGGTAAAAATCCCCAAGGCAAAATGTAGATGAAGAGAAATAGGTTAAATTAAGTTAGAAGAGCTAGCTAGAAACAGTATAAGATAAGGCGAAGCATTCATAATTAATAATACGTCTCCATGTCATGATTTGGTAGCTGGTTGGTCTCCATAAAGAAAGCTTGTTCCAATATCCATGAGTTCTTTGTGTCTTTCTTTGAAATACAAGATACTGCTTTTTCTTCAAGATAAAAATTTATCCTGAGCTCACACATTTGTGTCTGACTGATAAGCAGCTTCTTGCTGTTCATTTTTTACTTTGCAATGAATAAATATCCTTTCATGATAAACATTTTGACTTAAATTTGTCCTTTTTTCTAAAATTTAATTTTTATTCTGCCTTTCTTTGTATATTTCTGTCCCCTGCACATGCCTGATCTTCATAAGAAACATGTCTTGGAAATTTGCCTTTTTTTGTTTTTGTTTTGTTTTGATTTTGAGACAGGGTTTCTCTGTGACTTTGGAGGCTGGCCTGGAACTAGCTCTTGTAGACCAGGCTGGTCTCCAACTCTGCCTTTTCTTTGTAAAGCATGTGAAGTTGTCAAACACTTCGGAAGCTTGGTAGAGGTGGCCCTGGTTTGCTTAAGTTCCTGTATCATTGTGCATCCTAACATTAGCTATGCCTTTGACTTCCTCAGCCTGTTTGCCATAAGTGATTATGGCAGAGTTTCCAAGTTAAAAACTCTTTTGCTTCTGATCATCAGGTTAAAAGGAAATAAAGTGTGACAATGTTATTCTCAGGCTTATAGTTTTGCTTATTCCGTGATTTTTTTTTAATTGCTCTTAATTATGTAGAAGCCAGACTACTGCAGTCAGCCAGTGTCTGTGCTGTGTGGAGTTTAGCAGTTTACAAAGACCTTAGTCTAAATCTTGGCTGCATAACTTAATAGTAATTTGATTTGGCATTTCGTGTAACCCTTCTAAGTTATTTGTAAGATTGGGGGGGTATACTATCAGCCCCTGGCTGTTTATGTAGATTCTATATGATAATGAGCATGAACTATATAATTAAGTAGAAGAATACAAAGTTAAAAAGTTCATAGACCCACTATCAAGGACTGTTTTTTTAGGAAACTGAAATAATCTTGTTTTTAAAAATTGTGTTTTGAGGGCTGGTAGCTAGCTTACTCAGTGTTTGGGAAATTACCTAATGTGTAAGGGTCCTCATGTCACTCAGCACAGGAAAGGTAATGTAGGTAGATATCAGCAGGTAAATCCAGCAGTTTAAATAATGACATAAAGCAGAAGTCCTAATGCATCAAAGACAGGAGCAGAAGTACTATTGCCAGGCATTTTGTTTAGATACTAAGATACATGTTTGTGACATTGAATACTAAGTCTGATTTTTGGCTAAGTCTAATATTTAATCACATTTAAGATTATAAAGTTTGTGACAGGTGGTGGGGCACATGTCTGTAATCCCAGCACTGGGGAGGCAAAGGCAGGCAGATCTCTGTGAGTTCAAGACCAGCCTGGACTACAGAGAGTTCCAGGACAGGCTCCAAAGCTGCAGAGAAACCCTGTCTTGAAAAAACCAACCAAACAAACAGATTATGAAGTTTAAAGTGGACATAATTACAGGATCCTACAGAAATCCTCAGGTGTGTGGGGGGGGTGCTGGGTGATACTCTGGAATCTGGTCCAGTAGGGTTGCCAAGCTCTAGGCTACATAGGGAGTTTATGTCTTTAAAAACAAAGAAAAGTAGGGGTGTGTGTGTGTGTGTGTGTAAGAGAGGGAGGAAGAGAAGAGTGAGATCATTTATGTGTTTTCACTCAAATGCAACGTCTGTTCAGTACTTTAGGCATTTTGGCAAGCACTTTATCTGTCACAAGATTAACTCATAGTTTTGAGTTTCAGACTTTTCATGACCTTTGATGATGATTAAGTCTAAAAATAGGCAGTGCTAATGCATTTCCACATTGCTTCTTTTTAGGTATAGTATTTCCCTGTGGCTGTTAGTCAAATGGCCCTTGAAAAGTTGCTTAATTTCAAGTGGTTCTGTCAGTTCTGTGTGCCATACTGACTCATTGTATGCTCTGCTTTTAGCTTCTCGGGGGTTCTAGCTCCAGTTTTTTTTTTTTTTTTTTTTTTTTTTTTTTTTAATGCTGTCTGAAAGAGAGCCTAGCCCTGCTGTCACTTTGATTTTATCCTAGTGGAACTGATTTTGAATGTCCAAGTTATAGAACAAGCCTCTGCTTTTTAAGCCACTGCAGCCAACATACATGGTAGCCTGTTGACTTGGATCTCAAATGGCTTTGCCTGACTGTACATCAAAATTTGTGATATTTTACTGCTAATGAAGATTATTATTATTATTATTATTGTTGTTTGTTGTTGTTGTTATATAATTCATATCTCATATCCGTAATTGTTTGTTGTGAATTATATTGTCTGTCTGATTTATGTTTCTCTAGGCTGCCAAACTTTTTGATGAAGAAGGAAGAAAAAAATTCTTCACACAAGATATGAATAATATTCTTCTGGAGTAAGTGATTTTTATCTTTTTCTTTCTAAACCTGGACTGGAAATAATCTCAGTGATATACTTGCCAAGCATTTCTGAGGCCCTAGATTCAATTCCTAACTCAAAGGAAAAGACAACAAACAAAAACCTGACAGGCTGCTGAGGCTGTAGCTGTAAGCCCTGGATTTGCATAAACGGTGTGGTGTGGTACACCTCTGTAATCCCAGCATTTTGGAGGTGAAGAATGAACAGTTAAAGGTCATCCTCAGCTACTTTGTGAGTTCAAGGCCAGCCTGACCTACTTAACATTCTATCTCAAATAAATTAATAAACTAATTAATTAATAATAAACTTTGCAGAGAGTGGTGGTGCATACCTCTAATCCCATCACCAAGAAGCTGAGGCAAGAGAACTACAAGTTTGAGGCTAGCTTGGGATACAGTTGAGGGCTGATGAAATGGCTCAGGTAGAAAATACTTACTATGCAAGCCTGTTCTTTGTTTGAACCCGAGAGACCCACCCCAAAATTATCTCCTCACTTCCCCACACTGGGGGCCTGCATTTACCTGCACCTGCATCCGTCACCCAGCTCACTATAGTCATAATAAGTGGCTGGGGCCGAGTCCAGCTGGTACAGTTCTTGCCATTGATTTATAAAGGTCCTGCATAAAACTGGGTGAGGTGCTTCAGACCTGTTTTCCTAGCACCCTACAGGTGGAGGCAGGAGGACCCAGAAAGTTAGGGTCATCCTCAGGGATAATACTAAGGTATGGAGTTATAGACTAGCCTTGGCTATATGAGACTTTTTCTCAAAAATAACAAACAAACAAAACAAAACAAAACAAAAAAACCCAGCTAATTACATGCACACAGTTGCCCTGTGAAAACCAGTGGCTCAATGGATACAGTTCTTACTGCCATATCTTATGACCTGAGTTTGATCCCTGGGACCCACATGGTTGGAGGAGAGAACCAAGTCTACAATTGGTCCTCTGACTTCCTCAGGTACTCCATGGTACATATGTATGCACACCCATACATGTTTTTAAGTATTTTTTTAGTTGACTTGTGAGAGTTACCAGTTTTTCCTGTTGGGTACCAACTCCACACTACTAACAGTAGTCATAGCTGTTATTATTTCTAGCTTTTAGAGCAGGTGACTACTGTGCAGGTTGACTGTTCAGCTGGTCCTAGGTGTATTTGTGTCGCCTTATATGAAAAATGTCTGTGAAAGTTTCGAATATTTATTCAAATTGGTGTAATTGTCCACCTGTTTCTACTACTCAGCATTGAGACAAATGATTCCATAATTATTTAGTGAGGTTAATTATAATTTCGTACTAAATTTATAGCCAAATGGAAACTATGGTTCAAGCAAGAAATCTTGGAGCCAGGCATGGTGGTGGTACACACCTTTAATCCCAGCACTTGGGAAGCAAAGGCAGGTGGAGTTCTTAGTTTGAGGACAGCCTGTCTTGAAAAACCAAAGAAATCTTGGCTGTAAGGTTATATGAAAACTATAAATCAGATTGAGGTAAAAAAGGTGAAGGCTCATGACATGGATTATATTTAAATGAGCAGATTTTTAGGTTTAGTGTCAATTTTACATCAATTTTACAAGTTTGATATCAGTGAATCTGCATTTTTGAAGGTTGTAGCCAAATAAGCTGTATTTGTAAAATGGTTGTCTCATAAGTTTTAACTGTTGGTTATATGATTTAAGAATACAGTTGATTGCAGGCAGAATTAGGCAAAAGTGCGATCATGTGAAAAGAAGCAGATTTTACTTGTGTGATGAAAGTAATTGATCTGCTCTGGTATTTTTTAGTATCAGATAGGAAGATACAAGCAAACTCCTGTCACAGAAATCTGTAATAGAGCTATTCCATATAAAAGGGTGTGTTTTCATTACTTCGAGTTAGTTACAGTTTCTGTTATCCTGGTACTTAAAAAACAGACTCCTTAAACTAACAGAGTGGCAGGAGAGTTCTTTGTTTGAGTCAGGGGTCTCCAGGTTGGATGCGTGTACTTGGAAGAGGTACATGACATTGCTTCTAAGCTCCAGATTCACTAGAGATGTCCCACATCCGATCTCACTAGCCATTTTATTTCCACTAGAGGAGCTCTTTCCTCAAGGTTAAGACTGGCCTTTCCATTCTCTCCCTCTTCCCTTCCCTCCCTTTGTCCCTTTCCATGTCACTCTTCTGTAAGAGGGGGAGTCAAGAGCCCATCCTTGTGCTCTGGCTGCACAGGTAAGCACAGTATTAGAGTTCCATTGACAGACTTCTGTCTTCATTCTTTGCCTTTCTGTCACAGACAAATCTCTGAATTGGGAAGCCCATCTACTCTGGTCTCTCTTTAGTTTATGTGTGTGGGTGTTTTGCCTGCACATTTGTAACTGCACCATGCAGTTATATGCATGTGCCTGGTGCCCAAGGAGGCCAGAAGAGGGTATCAGATCCTTTGGAATTAGAATTACAAACAGCGGTTATCCACCATATGGGTACTGGGGATCAAACCCTGGTGTTTTGAAAGAGGGTAAGTGCCCTTAATTGCTGAACTATGGAGATCTGCACACACATGCGCACGCACACACTCTTTTCATAAAAGGTGAGCCTTCAGTTCTTCAAGCCCATAGGCTCAGAGTTGAAGTTTTTCCTTTATCGACACTTGTCGTTTCTGTTTTTTTTTGTCTCTGTCATAAATCCACATGCCTTACTCTTGTGGACAGATGGGTGTGTTTTTTTTTTTTTTTTTTTTTTTTTTTTTTTTTTTCTTTTTATGTGCATTGGTGTGAGGTTGTCAGAGCCCCTGGAACTGGAATTACAGACAGTTCTAAGCTGCCATGTGGTTGCTTGGAATTGAACTCAGGTCCTCTGGAAGAGCAGCCAGTGCTCTTAACTGCTGAACCATCTCTCCAGTCCCCCAGAGTGTTCTTGTAGTAGCATGTGTGATCCCGTAACATTACTCAGGTATATTGACCTCACCATTTCTTCCTTTTGTTGAGGAAGAAGAAATTATTTTATTGGTTCACCATTTTTTCCTGGTAGTTGAATTTGAGCTGAATGAACAGGCATACAGTCCACTTGCTTGGTCTCCTTCCCTGTTCCTTGATGTAAGCATTTCGAATAGATAATGGACTTCTGGCTGTCTCAGTTCCACTCAGATTGCACTAGGCATGACTGTTGGCTGGCCATCTCCTTGGTGCTCTTTGAATGAGTAGTGACTTGATGGCAGTATAGAGAGGACTTAACAATTGGTTTGTCCTCAGGGAGTCAGCTTTCCCCTGTCTTAGTTAACCTTTTTGGAAACCAGTGACTTTTTAAAGTGTTTCCTTAAGTAGGTCTAGACTTTTGTGGCATCTCTTAGTACTTGGAGGATTTGTATTTTATTTTTAGTCTCGACCCCCTTTTGAACCATATGGCAAGTCCTGACTGAAGTCCTCCTACTCAGAGCCTAGGCCCCTAGTAACTGTCTAGCCAAATGTTACCAGCCAAGCGTTTCTGCATAGCACTCATGACCACGGCATCATTTCCTTACGGGCTCTTGCATTTAATCCTCTATTCACTGTTTAGTTTTTCTAATACCAGGGATTTTCTTTTATCAGTTTTTATTTTCCAAGACATGGTTTCTTTGCATAGACCTGGCTGTCCTGGCACTCGCTCTGTAGAACAGGCTGGCCTCAAACTCACAGAGATCGCCTGCCTTTGCCTCCCAAGTGCTGGGATTAAATTCATGCACCACCACCACCTAGCCCTTTTACAAATTCTAAAGAGCATGTTTTTTGTCTGTTATTTTTGCCCCTGCAATAAAATCTTTTTGGGGGGTTTGGAGGGTTTCACGACAGGGTTTCTCTGTGTAGCTTGGCTGTCCTGGAACTTACTCTGCAGACCTCAGGCTGGCCTGAAACTCATAGAGATCCACCTGCCTCTGCTTCTTGAGTGTTGTAATTAAAGGTGTGTACCACCATTGCCCAGCTGAAATTACAATATATCTTAGAGGTGATAAATTTATTTGATATGGGAAGGTTTCTGAAGTGTCCCTGTCTAGTTTCCTGTACTTAATTATCTGTGATGATTTGGACGTAATTTGTTGCCAAGAGCACCACTTTTGTTTTACTTTGTTGTTGATTTTGTTTTGATACAAGATCTCACGATGTATCCTCCACTGGCCTGGAGTTCCTACATAGACCAGGCTAGCCTGGAATTCTGAGTAGAATTAAAAATGTTCACCACCAAGCCCAACTAAGAGCCCCAGTGTGATAATGTCCTTCAAGCTAACATCTGTTGTTATTTTTCTTTAGTAGCAGCTGCCAAATAAACCTTCCATATTGAGAGACACCTTATTAATAGTTTATCTCTGCTAAAATATGGTAATTACTACAAACTTTACTGCTCTACTTTTAAAAAAGACATCAAGAGAGAAAAGAAAAAATATTAATCCCACTAAATGAGAATGAAGACCAACGAACCAAACTTTTTGGTCAAATTAACCAAAATAAACCAAGCTTTATTTTCTGTCAGACAGTGCTATCTCCTTAAAGACAGGTTTGAGAAAATAGCATTGAACATAGAAGAAAGTGGGGCTTATCCAGCCCAAACTGCAAGGCTAGGAGGTTTCCTGAGGTTTTTGGTTACATGGGAACTTTGTAGAGAATTCTCAAAATTATTTGACGGCTTGTGGAAGTCAGGTTATGGGTGTGGAACATGTCCAGTTCCAGAAAATGGGTAAAGACATGCTGAAATTTACGTTTTACAGAAAACAGGAGGGAACTTATCTGACCTTGTAACAAGATGGAGTCAGGCTGGTCCATCAAAAAGAAAGCTAAACTATTAAATACACAGCTGTGTCACAGGCATAATAAGGGAGACAAAAATGAGCAATAGCATGTGCACACATCTGTATGTGCAGGGCTTGGGTGTTTCAGACACCTTAAGGACTGGTGCTGTGGGGACTGCAATTCCAAAAACACCTGCCTTTGCGCCCTCCCTCTCTCTCTTCCTTCCCTCTTCCCCCTTCCCCCCCTCTTTCTCTGCTTTTGGTTTTCAAGATTGGGCTTCTCAGTGTAGTCCTGGCTGTCCTAGAACTCACTTTTTAAGCTAGACTGACCCCGAACTGAGACATCCACCAGCCTCTGCCTCCCAAATGCTATGATTAAAGGTGTGCACCACCTTCTGGCTTGTATGATAGTGTGTAAAAAGGATTTTATGTTATTTACTGTTGTGTGTTTTGTTTTTATTTTTGGTCAGCATCGAGTTACAGCTACAAGAACTAGGCCCTGTCATTCGTAGTGGTGTCTACTCCCATCTTGAAGCATTTGTGCCATGCAATAAAGAAACACTGGTAAAACGTCTAAAGAAGTTACATCTTAATGTCCAGGTAAGTGGAAGAGTAATATCTTTGTCTTAGATTTTGTAACCAGTAAACAAGAAAATGTTTGCTCAGAGTCTTTGCACACACATCACTTGATAGTCCTATCACGCATGTTTAATAATCTTAGTATGGTACTAAAGGTGATTAGGAGCCCCTTCCTTAGGGCTATCAAGATGGCTCTGTAGGTAAAGGCACTTGCCGAGTAAGCCTGGCAAAATTGTCCTCCAGATTCCACAAATAGATCACAGCCCGAACAACACATGGGCGGGCACACACAATTAAAGAAATACTTCAACAGATGATAGGTTTAGATGAAAGTACTGATTTCTAAGGCATAGATTCTTGGTCTACAAAGTCAATGTAGTAGGTACAGCAAACAGAATTTTTGATTAAGGCCCCAAAATCTGTTAACAAAGACTTCTTTTGAGGTGAAAAATTATAGTTCTTTCTTGATTCAAAGCAGGTTAATGAACAAAAAAAATGTGTTTCTATTTCATATTTTATGGTTCCCTCATGAATTGTAACACATTGTTTTTTCCATTAAGGTAATTTTGTCCTCCACCCATACTCAGAGAGTCAATGAAAGTAGAGACTTTTTTTTTTTTTTTTTTTTTTTTTTTTTTTTTTTTTTTTCTTGAGAATGGTGTGGCCTTGGCTGGCTTAGAGCTCACTATGTACATACAGTAGGTTGATGTCAAACTCACAGAGATCCACCAGCAGTGCAGAGGTATGTACCACCATACCCAGCCCAGAAAAACACCATTTTGTGTAGTATAAATTTTTTTTTTTTCCTTTTTGAGAAGGTATTCTGTTCTAGTTTACATTGGGATTGTAGACTTTACCATCTTGCCTGTTTTTGTTTGTGGGTTGCCCCCCTCCCCCCCCCCACACACACACATTCAGAGGGCCTAGTTCTGTCCCACAGCTTGGGTCAGCCGTCTCCGTGGTTTCCCCATCATGGTCTTGACCCCTCCTTGTTCATATGATCCCTCCTCCCTCTCTTCAACTGGATCATCTTAACTACAAATTTCTTTAATAAATCTTAATACTAAGTCTTGAGACTTTTCTTCCAGACACCAGTAGGTGCTCAGTTTATTAACTGGTGTCATGGAATAGATTAAAGTGCTTTCTAATCATAATTTTCATGTTCTAAATATATCTTTGGGGGAGTGTTTTTTCGAGACAGGGTTTCTCTTTGGAGGCTGTTCTGGAACTAGCTCTTATAGACCAGGCTGGTTTCAAACTCTCAGAGATCTGTCTGCCTCTGCCTCCTGAGTGCTGGGACGCCACCACCCCCGGCTTTTTTTTTTTTTCTGCTCCCACATGGCCTGGAACCGAGAATCTGCGGAGGGTGTCTGGATTAACAACACAGAGAGCTGGCTTGGTGGTCAGAAGGCTCTTCATTTTTTTTCCTGGGCTGATTTTATACCGTAGCACCAGAAGAGGGAGGGGGAGCTCAGGAAGAGGCTGTTAGTCTCAAGCCTGGGTTCAGGGCACAGTCACAGAATTCTCTGAGGGAAACAACATTCTGCTCCAGTAAACATGTTTTGCAATGGCATTGGGGGGGTGGTTGGGTCACTTTTTCCCTTTTTTTTTTTTTTTTTTTTTTTTTTTGCTAAATATATCTTTTATCAAAAGTTGTAATGACTTGTTAGGGAACTGCTCAGGTAAAGGCTTGCTTAGTGTGCCTGAGTCTTAGTTTCCTTTCTATGCTGAACCCATATGGAGAAGAGTTTCTCAGTTTCCTCTTTCATTTGGCCTTGAACTTAATTTTTTGCTTTCAGTTTAAGTTATAATTGCTTGCAACAACTGGGAGAACAGGGTGCCCACATCCTGTTGGTAGTCACCAAAGCAGATTGTGTGTTGTAGTATTTCAGAGTGGTGTCTTTTTGGAGTATATCTTTCAACACCAAGAGTTAAACAGTAAGTAGTCTGGGCAATGTCTGTCCTATTCTCTAGGTTATTTATATTACAGTTTATTTGTAAAACTTATTGACCAAAACTTGGGCTCATCCTTAAGAATGTGAAGGAACACTGTTACTAGGGCAGCATGCAAAAACTGTGACTCTACTTGGTGTAGCAGGAAACACAGTCCTCCTAATTCTTCATTCAGTGTGCCTTTCACAAGTCGGGGCTGTAGAAGAAATACCATGTTAGACAACATTTCAGGTCTATATTCAATATGTGAGATGTGATTTCCCCTGTTGAAGTTCTGGTTGTAGAGTAAGTTTTGTTAGGATATTTGAAAAGAAACAAACAAAAATAAACAAACAAAAAAACAAAAAAACACCTCCAAATATATTTCCCCCTTAGGATGATCGTTTAAGAGAACCTCTGCAGAAATTGAAGTTGGCTGTTAGCAACGTCATGCCTGAACAGCTGTTCAAATACCAGGAGGACTGCCAGGCTCGCAGTCAAGCCAAGTGTGCCAAGTATGTACGTCTGCTTTGGGCTGGTTTTAGAATTTGAGATCACATTTAGCTGTTCTTCTTTTTTGTTGTTGTTTTTTGTTTTTGTTTTGTGTTCCAGGCAGGGTTTTTGTTTTGTGTTCCAGGCTGTGTAGACCAGCCTGGCCTCAAACTCAGAAATCCACCTGAGCACTTAGTTGATGTTTCTTCTTTTTTTCTTTCTTTTTCTTTTTTTTTTGTTTTTCGAGACAGGGTTTCTCTGTGGCTTTGGAGCCTATCCTGGCACTCGCTCTGGAGACCAGGCTGGCTTCGAACTCACAGAGATCCACCGGCCTCTGCCTCCCTAATGCTGGGATTAAAGGCATGCGCCACCAATGCCCGACATTGATGTTCCTAAATTGTCCTCATTTTCTAGAGTAAATGTTTTTAAGTGGTGTGTTAATTCCTATTCAGCTGCTGTGCTGTCAGACAGCTGCTGTGTCTGGTTAGTGTATGGATGTGAACAGGCACTTGGGACGCTCATGTAACAGCAGCAGGTAGGTGGTGTCAGCAGAGTAGAGTGGTCAGGCTCCAGCCCAGCCTAGGCTTCATGCTGAGACTCTTCACATGCTGATGGTTTTACTAAGCAGGGCTGAACACAGAGTTTCATCTAAAGGATGAGCATTTGTACCTCTGTATTATAGTTCAAAGCCCTTATTTACTCATCTACTTTGTAGTGATTTGAGATTTACCATATTATGTGGAAATATAGCTCCCTGTTTGTTCTGTTTTGAGTAAACATTTGGCTGAGCAACTGACGTATTTAAGAACCATATGGTTGTGAATTCTGGGTTAAAACTTGGCTTCATAAAGTGTTACTCATCTTTTAGGTTGCAAGCAGATGAAGAACGGGAAAAAAATGGATCTGAAGATGATGACGATGAGAAACCAGGGAAACGAGTCATAGGCCCACGAAAGAAATTCCACTGGGATGATACCATTAGGTGAGCTTTGTTAGTCAATCTTCATTTATAGGCAGAGATAGAAGAACAATCCACAGGAAGTGGAGGACTAGATCAGAAGCAACCAAAGATTACTGTCTAAGAAAACATACTCAAGAAATGCAGCCTGTTGTGATCACCTCACGGTGTTGGTGCTTTGGTCTTCATCGAATGCATTTTGTCAGCTGTTTTAACAGTGGAGTGAAGTCATTCTGGTTGCATAGGGACAAGCACGTGACATACTTGTGAGAACTGTCTGCTTACTGTACCCCTTTCAATCTTTGCTCATGTAAAAGTTCCAGAGGCCATTGTTTCATGGTGGGGGTTGATTGTAATGCAGTGAATGATCAATGTTAGAACTTATTTCTCTTATCATTGTCTAAATAATTTATTCTTTATTGCCACCAGATTTGTGTGCTTCAAAAATACCTGTTTCCATTTTTACTTTCTATAGTTTTACAGTTCACATTTCTGTGTCAATATATATTTTTAATTTGTTTAGGACTTTGTTATGTAACCTTGTTGAGATCAAATTGGGATGTTATGAATTAGAGCCAAATAAAAGCCAGTCTGCTGAGGATTACCTTAAATCCTTCATGGAAACAGAGGTGAAGCCGCTGTGGCCAAAAGGCTGGATGCAGGCCAGGTAAGAAATGTGCCTTCCTGGATCTTGTGCTTTCTTACTTTGTCTGCTGTTACTAAGGATGTATTTGCACACAAACACACATCACATTGATTTTTCTAAGAACTCGTGTGTTTGGGAGGTATTGGAGGGAGGAAAGAGAAGGGGAGAAATTATAATCTCAAAAAATAAGAACTTACATGTTCAACATTCTATTAATATATCAAGAAACCTCAAAAAAAAAAACAAAAACACCCTGTGTGTGTGTGTGTGTGTGTGTGTGTGTGTGTGTGTTATTTCAGATCAGCATTTAACAAAACAGTCCTTGTGGAGCTACAAATAAGATAGGTATAATAATGTGTTTTTTTGTTTTTAATTCAAACTATTTTTCCTTTTCTTGCTTCTGAGTTTAGTAATGGGGAAAAGGAATAGGAGATGATGGTTATAAACTTGAGGCCTTTTTGACAGATAAAAGAAGCTCCTGGTGAATTTAGAGCAGAGCCAGATGTGGTAACACACATTTGTAACTAGCACTGATGAGACTATATGCTGGGTTGCAAGTTTGAAGCCAACGTGGACTAGAGAATTCCAGGTCAGCTTGCCTGATGCTGTGAAATCCATCTTCAGAATCAAAATTTCTGGTCATGGTGCTGCATGCCTCTAATCTCAGAGCACGGGCAGCAGAGGCAAGCAGATCTCTGTGAGTTCAAAGCCAGCAGGGTTTATCTAGCCCATGCAGCCTTGAACTCAGATCTACTTGCCTCTGCTTCCTGAGTACTGGGATTAAAGTCATGTTCCACCATGCCTGGCTGGAGGAATTTTAAGAGAAGAAAAAAAGAAACTTGTCTATCAACCTATCATCCTTATAGTAACAGAAATAACCTTTTCTGTGATTTGTTAAAACTTGTAAATGCATAGAAACGATATAAAACTTCTCATGAAATACTTTATTGGGTAAAGTCATTACTACTTTTGCTTGGTAAATAAGCAAAAATCAAGTTGTTAGTGATCTTGAGTTCAAGCCTGAGCTAAAATACTTAGTTTGAGGATAGTCTGAGCTACACTGCAAGATCCTGTATTCAAAACAAAAAAACAAAAAGTGAAGCAATTACCATGTTACCTGCTATAAAAAATAATTTTGTCTTTCTGATTTTTCCAGAATGCTTTTTAAGGAAAGCCGGAGTGTACATAATCATCTTACTTCTGCCCCGTGAGTAAATACTGACTCCAGATTTCTCCCATGTGCTGTTATTCATGTTATGGGTTTTTGTGGGGGTTTTATTTTGTTTTGGTTTGTTGTTTTCAAGACAGGATTTCTTTATGTAACCATGGCTGTCTTGTATGTCATGCTGCCCTGGAACTCAGAGATCCACCTGCCTCTGCCCCACCAAGTTCTGGGATTAAAGGTTTGTGCCACCTCTCGCTGGCTTATGTTATGGTTTTCAGAAACAAAAATCTTACTCAAATGCTCATTGACAAAGTGGGTCATCTCTGTGTTGCCACCCTTTTGTTGTTTTGTTTTTCTGTTGTTTTGACTGCTGACTTTGGAAACAGTCCCAAGGTACTCTTCAAATCTTCCTAGTCTAAATTGGGCTTCTGCTTTCAGGAGCCATCCAACGGGATGCTCAGGTGTGCTCCCCTTGTTGTTAGTGTCTGCATGGGAACTTGCATTAGATGAGCAGACTTACAGGACACTTGGATATGCATCCCTTCCCTGCCTTGTTCAAGCTGTCAGTCTTCCTCTGTACACAATTGGGCATAGGAAAAATACAAAGCAGGGTTCTAGATCTGCAAGATGGTTCAGTAATAAAAGCATTTGCCATATATATCTGAATTGGAGGCCTAGAACCATGGTGAAAGGAGAAAACCAACTCCTGGAAGTTGCCCTCTGAACTCTATCTATGCCCTGAGACATGTTTCTACCTGTACACATGTATATAGTCACTCAAAAATAAAAGTTTTTAAAAATGTTTATACCAGAAATTAAACACAGGTCCAGCATATGCTTGGCAAGCACCCTTGTACTGAGCTACATACCCAGCCCAGCGAAACTTTATAAAGAATGAACTTCTATTCTCCTAATACATAGGAAGATGCCATATTTTGTTTATGGTTGCTTTGGGGGAAACGTATTAATCTACTGGGATGTAGCTCAGTTGGTAGAGTGCTTACCTGCCATGCATAAGGCCCTTAGTTCCATCTCCAGCATCATTGAAATATGTGCATTAGTGCACATATTAGTGCATTATAATCTGCTAAGCACTTTAGTGTAAAATACCAGATGATCATTTTGAAGATGACATTATAAAATTCTTCCACTCCTTTCCTTTTATACATTGTTAGAAGAAATGGACATTTTTAGTTCCAGATGGGACAGAGATCTATTATTTTTTGTTACTACTCTTGCTTTTCTCTTTGAAGACAGAATGTTGCTTTATTGCCCAATTTGGTCTTAAACTCCTGACCTCTGAGTGACCCTGCCTCTGCTCCTCAAGCAAGTACAGGCTGCTGTCTGACCCCCTCAGTGCTGGGCATTGAGCATGGGCTTTTTAGACAAGTGTTCTGCCATGGAGCTACATCTAGTCCTCTCCTCTGCTTTTTAAAAACAGTTCCATTGTTACCGTTACCTTTGTGTTTTGTTTTATTATTATTAGGGTTTTTGTATTTGTTTTGTTTTATCAGAAAATAGGATAGGTAAATATGGCCGTCTTAATGCTATAATGGCTTCCTCTGAAAAAGGCATGGAGACTTACTGTTGCCTTCCTGAAACTCCATATGAGCAGGTGGTTCGTGCTGGTTCCTAAATGTACAAAGTTTTTTTGTTTTATGTAACCCTAGCTGCCTTCGAACTCACTATATAGATCAGGGTGACCCCAAACTTACAAAGCTTCCTTCTTGCCTTTTACTAAATTGATGTGTTATCATTCTAAAAATTTTTGATTTTTGCAATTAAAAATAATTTTCAATAAAACCTTAAAATTTTTTAAGCAAAATGTCATTCATAACCCAGTAGCCTGATTTGAGTATGGCGTACCTCGAAGCTGTTTTCTTACAAATAAGTGTGAATTCTTATCAATCCTTTGAAATGAGTTTCCTTAGGCTAACCTATTTTGAGTCATTTTATGTTTTATATGTGGCTTTTAGTTTTCCCCTATCTATATCTCTTAGTAATTATTTGCCCTTTCAGTCAATCTGAATTAGAAAAATATTGCTGACTGTCCCCATGTGAGCTGAGTAGTTTCTGTCTTCAAAGAGCTTTCTAAATAATGGAAAGAATTAGGGTGGTCTGCTTTAATTCCTAACTTACAACTGCTTCATTTTAATCTTTTATCTTAGGGCAAAGAAAAAGGTGATTCCTGCATCAAAACCCAAAGTCAAGGTAAGAGTCCAGCACATTTGTAGTTTTGGTCCTAATTGGTGAGTGTTGGGGGTAGATTCTTAGGGGGAAAGGGCTCGTGATGTGTAGCAAAGAGTAATAGATGTTATGCTGAGTTGCTTGTTTCCAACTTCATAAAAGTCCATTTGGGAAGTAGATTGTTCTGGAGCTGTGGGGATTTGCATTCATTAGTTCTACATAGAAATATTGGATAAAAATATAACATTTTTTAAAAACGTAATTGAATGGTTGGGCATGGTTGCATACCTGACACTCAGGAGGCAGAAGAAGATCTCTAAGTTCAAGGCCAACCAGGGCTACACAGGTAAGCCCTGTGTGACGCCCCCCCCCCCAAGAAAATAGCTAAAATTATAAATTAAAAGGAGAGATTCCAGAGTCAAAGAGGCACTCTACCAGCTGGCATTAGTGGCGCACACCTTTAATCCCAGCACTTTGGAGGCAGAGGCAGGCAAATCTCTGTGAGTTCGATGCTAGCCTGATCTACAGAGTGAGTTCCAGGACAGGCTTCAAAGCTGCAGAGAAACCCTGTCTTGGGGGGATGGGGTGAGAGGTACTACCATGTTGATGGTCTATTGCTGAGGCCTTCATTGTCCTTGGAGAGATTCCCTGTCACTGTCTTTTCAGAGCAACAGGTAGGGCTTCTTGGGGGTTGGTGCATCAGAAAGAGAAAAGAACCCTGCATAAAGCAGGGCCCTGAATAACGTCTTTAGTTGGTGACGAGGGAGTGGAACGTCTGCTACCAGCAGAAAGAATTCTGTCTTGACCATGGTTTCTAGACTGGAGAAAGTCTAGAAAGTCTAGAAAAGTCCTGCCTGAAATGCCCCCTTTGTTAGTTTAGTTTGCATGACTTGCACAAGATGGCTGAGTAATTTACTGATTTAGCAGTGACCCAGGGCAGCAGGCAGAAACAGATTCTGCCCCGTGTAATGTCCCGCGTCTTAAGCTTCCCTGTTTGCAGCACAAGTCAAACATGCAAGCCGTAGGTGGATCTCAGGCCCAACATAGACTCAGTATGCCAGAGGCCCTGAGCATAATCCCAGAACCACAAAAAAACCCAAAGCAACAGACAAAAAATAACAAAGCCCATCTGTCTACTGTCTGAAATATAGACTATGTAAGGGGATTTAGTAGTACAGGTTAGAGTCAGTGGACGTCAGAAACAATTAAATCCACCACAAATAGGTGGTAAATTTGTTAGTTTAGAACATAAAGTACCCGGGCATGTGTGGTGATGCATATCTGTAATCCCAGCTCTCTGGAGCCAAAGGCAGAAATAACTCCAGGCCACTCAGGGATTCACAGACCCTGTCTCAACTTGTTCCTCCCAAAAGAAAAAGGAACATAAAATAATGTTAACCCTGCTTAGGAGAAGCTGGGCTGTGCGCCTTGCTCCATTCTTCTATTCTTTAGATGGGACAAGTCTTCCTTCACTGCTAAAATTAATATTTGAGGTGGGAAAGGTAATAATAAAAACATCCCTAAAAAGTATAGTTGGGTTATGAGTGTAGCTTATTTGGTAAGTGCTTGCCTAGCATACTTGAAGCCCTCACATCACATTAAGTAGGCGTGGTAGCATACGACTATAATCCCAGCACTCAAGGAGTAGAGGCAGGAGGATCAGAAGTTCAAAGATTGATCCGCATGATCCTTGGCTTGATAGGGAGTTGGAGGTTAACCTGGAATATATGAATATATGAGACTCTGCCTCCCCCCAAAATAATTAAAATAGAAACTTTGTGCTGGTAATGCTGCCCCTGCTTCAGTCTTATCCTCTTTCTAGTGATGGAGTTTTAGTAATAGTGTACTTGGATTGTCAACATGTGTAAGCATTTATATCATGTGTTATCTCTCATTTTAGCCAACAGTGTGACCCTGATGGGATCATGCCCATGCTTCTATAGGTAGTGAGGTTTTCAAGATGGAGTTCTTAGAGTAAAAGTTTAGGATAAGTGCTATGGAAGTTAGAGTGTAACAGCTTCCTTAACAGCTTACTTACTGTAACACCGTAGGAGGTGATGGTAAAGACCCTTCCTGTTCGTTCTTTCCCCACTATGCTGAAGGTAAGTGATGTGACTGTATACATCAGTATATAAGATTCTGGGTTTGGGACTTTTCCTTTCTAAGGAACTAATAGAGCCTCTGAAATGATGTATTAATCTGTGTAGTAGTTTTTGTCTTTATATTAATATTAAACATGAAGTTAGTCTAGTACTTTATATTACTCCCAACAAATAATTGGTTGCTCTTGCTAATGTTTTTATTTTTACTCTGAGTATTTTAAACCATAATAATCTTAACTCTTCCTTGAGTTTTAAGAAAATTAACAGAAATACTCATTTAGATGTTTAGCACTTTAATTACTAATACCTTTATTTTCTTAGGGCATAGTCTTACTCATAGGAGACACTAAGTAGAAATATGATTTAAATATGGTTGAATGATTCACAAGTTTCCCTGTGTACTGTGGAGGGTAGCTATAGAAATGCAAGGAAGCAGGAAACCAGAGTCAGCATCCCACTAACCTTATTAGACAGAAGTTGTAGTTTTGATAAAAGGCAACATCCCTTCCGAGCGCCAGAAGAATAAAACCTCCTGAGATGCTGGGGTTGAAGTTGGTTCGGAATATTTGATGGAAGTGTGGTTCACGGGGGATGTCCCCCCAGTCGGTGTGCTTCAGCCCCTTTCCATGTCCTGCTAAGATGACTTGGAAGGACATAGTGGAGTGTGCCACATACTGTGTTATGAGGAGAGCTGGTTCTAAACATGGTTTTGGTTTTGGCAGTCTTCTCAAGATTTCTAGCTTTAAAAAAAAAGAGAGGGTCTAGTACAGTGGGACACACCTTTAATGCCAGCACTGTGGAGGCAGAGGCAGAGGCAGGTGGATCTTTGTGAATTAAGGTCCAGCCTGGTCTACTTAGGGAGTTCCAGGACAGACAGAGCTATCAACAGACCTCTGTCATAACAGCCAAAAAATAATGCTAGTCATAAGAATTTCTTTTTTTTGGGGGGGGGTTCAAGACAGGGTTTCTCTGTGGCTTTGGAGGCTGCCCTGGAACTAGCTCTTGTATCCCAGGCTGGTCTCTAACTCACAGAGATCCACCTGCCTCTGACTCCCGAGTGCTGGGATTAAAGGCGTGCACCACCGACACCTGGCAAGAATTTCTTAATCTTGTAAAAACTAAGTTTAAGATTTGTAATTAACTCTCTGTATTTTTTCCAATATAATGCTGTTTATGCTAGGAGTGTAGCCCAAAGAAAGACCTGAAGGCTCCCGTCTCTCTGGCTTCCGTTGGCGGTCCTTCCACAAGCTCCAGCACAGCCATCACTGCATCGGCTAGCCCCAGCTTAGCGCCCGCCCAGGAAACCATCTGCCTTGATGACTCCCTCGATGAAGACCTTGCTTTCCACTCATCGTCCCTGGATCTCGTCTCGGAAGCTTTAGCCGTCATCAACAATGGGAACAAAGGCCCCTCCGTTGGCTCAAGGCTAAATGTGCCAGCTACAAAGCCTCGTCCAGCACTGAGAGAAGACAAACTAGCGAGTATCATGAGTAAATTACCACTGGCTGCTCCCAAAAGACTAGATGCTACTCAGACTGCACACTCATCAAGTCTCATTGCTGGTCACTCAGGGCCAGTACCAAAGAAACCCCAGGATTTAGCTCATACTGGCATTTCTTCAGGCCTTATTGCTGGTTCTTCAATTCAGAACCCTAAAGTTTCCTTAGAACATTTGCCAGCCAGGCTACTCCAGCAAGGACTACAAAGGTCCAGCCAGATACATGCTTCTTCCTCTTCACAGACTCATGTCTCATCCTCCCAAGCCCAAGTTGCTGCCTCCTCTCATGCTCTGGGAACATCAGAGGCCCAAGATGCTTCTCCGTTAACACAAGCAACAAAGGTGCACCAGCACTCAGCTGTCCAGCAGAACTATGTGTCTCCATTACAAGCCACCATTAGTAAATCACAAACCAACCCAGTGGTGAAGTTGAGTAATAACCCCCAACTTTCCTGTTCATCCCAACTACTCAAGACTTCAGATAAGCCACTGACGTATCGCCTCCCTTTGTCTACCCCGTCACCTGGAAATGGTTCTCAGGGGCCCCACCCCCTGGTTTCTAGGACAGCATCGAGTACCACTACCTCCAGTAACTATTTAGCCAAGGCTATGGTGTCACAAATCTCCACGCAGGGTTTCAAATCTCCCTTCTCAATGGCTGCATCTCCCAAACCTGCCGCATCTCCCAAGCCTTTGCCCTCACCTAACCCCTCCGCATCACCCAAGCCCTCTCTGTCAGCTAAGCCTTCAGTACCAACTAAACTTATTTCTAAATCCAACCCAACTCCCAAGCCTGCTGTATGCCCAACTTCCTCCAGTCCAAACACACTCGTAGCCCAGAGTAGCCACTCCACCAGTAACAACCCTGTCCACAAACAGCCCAGTGGAGTGAACATCAGCAGACAGTCACCCACTCTGAATTTGTTGCCCTCAAATCGCACTTCTGGCCTTCCATCTACAAAAGCTCTTCAGGCCCCTTCTAAACTAACAAACTCATCATCCACTGGAACTGTTGGGAAGAACAGCCTGAGTGGAATTCCAATGAATGTACCTGCCAGCAGAGGTAGCAACCTTAACTCAAGTGGAGCTAATAGGACTAATCTATCTGGGGGAACAGGAAGTGGAACACAGGGTGCTACTAAACCGTTGTCTACTCCACACAGACCAACCTCTGCCTCAGGGTCTTCAGTGGTCACAGCCAGTGTGCAGGTATGTATGTACTGTGCACTCACTCACTCATGTGATAAATGTAAGACTGAGCAGGCTTTCTGAGTCACCGACATACACGACATGGAGAATGTCTTTATGCTAGGCTGTTAACAGCTGTGGCCATGGAATGCTCTCAGAGTTGACATCATAGTGCTGGTGAGGTTTTCTTTGGAATGTGCATTTTTATTTATCAACAAGTATTCTGTCAGGCTGTGTGTGTGGTGTGTGACACCTGTAATCCTAGAACACGGAAGAGGGAAGTAGGGAGAACACAGGGAATTCTAAGCTAACCTGGGCTGCAGAACAAAGTCTTACTAAAACTAAAGTAAAACTTTAGAAGATAGGATGGGAAGAAGATAGGATGGGAAGGTGAGGGTGTTAGCTCAGTGACAGTCTCCCTAGCACATGAGAAACTTCAGGTTCCATCCCCAATATCAGGAAAAGATTCACATTTACCTTAACATTTGTTTTGGAAAATAAAGCTTGAGGATGTATTTAAAACTTTATCTTTTAGCCAGACATGCTGGTGTACCCCTACAGTCCCAACTCTTGAGAGGAAGTTGACAGTTACCCTTTGTTACACAGCATAGGCTGTATGACACCATGTTGAAAAAACAAAATCTCCAAAAGCTCTCTCTTATTAAGAGCAAGAACAAAGTATTAGTGCAGAAAATTAACATATATTCAGTTGTCTCCCTACCTTTTCTGTCTTTATAAATGTGTATGGGGGCATGATTTGCATGTTGGATGCAGTGCTGAAGAAGGCCATGAAGTTGGTGTTACAAGCAGGTGTCAGCCCCTGACTTGGGTACTAGGGACCATTGAGCCAGCTTTTCTGTTTATTTAATCAAATTTATATATCTGTATTATTTCCTTAAGTGTTTATCCTTTCCAAATTTTTATTTTACATTAACTTTTTAGTTATTCGTGTATAATTGTTGGAATACCTATATGCCATTTTCCCAGTTGGTCAGTTTTTAGTTTGCATTGGCTCTCAGCCAAGGACTCTTTGCTAGAAGGGACATGAATGGTATCTGCTTTACCATTGCTTTTGCCTACATACTCACTGTTTTCTGTGTTGTAACATTTACAAGAGTCTGGGTACACTTCCTGGTCACTGAGTTCCATCCCAAATTCCCTGCTTAATATTCTGTATTATACAAAAGTCTGCAGCTATGCTGATTATTTTATTCTCCTTAATAAGTAATGTATTTTGTCTGCTGAAATGGCTAGAAAATTTATCTTTAAACCCCAGTATTGAGCTAAAGCTCTGTTTATCTAATTTTCATTGATTTTGTACTTAGAACACAAGACGCCTCAGACCTGGCTGTTTTTTCCAGCTCAAGAATATTTTTCTCTTGGCCAGTGAGGTGGTAAAGGTGCTTGCTGCCAAGCCTAATGACTTGAGTTTGATCCCTGGGATCCACATGGTAGAAGGAGAACAGACTTCCAAAAGTTGTCCTCTGGCCTACACACACACACACATCGCAGTATAGTTCTCCCAACCCAAGAATAAAGTAATTTTACCAATTTTTTAAAAATAAAAAACAAGGCCAGGCGTTGGTGGCTCACACCTTAAATCCCAGCATTTAGGAGGCAGAGGCAGAGGATCTCTGTGAGTTCGAGACCAGCCTGGTCTACAAGAGCTAGTTCCACGACAACAGCCTCCAAAGCAACATAGAAACCCTGTCTCGAAAACCAAAATAAATAAATAAATAAAATGAATAAAAAGCAAAGACTATGTTATTCTATGTTTGGTAATTGGTTTTGATTCCGTGCTTAGCTTAGACATTGGGTATTTGTATTTTGGCTGAACTGGCCAGGACCCTGCCGTACTCCTACCTATCCCTGATGCTGAGACCCCTAGCATTTGCTGCCACACCCCACCCACTTAGCTTAGGGTTAGTTTAAAACTTTGTTTTTTTAAAAGACAGGATCTCACTTTGTAGCCCAGGCTGGCTTCAGACTTGTAGCAGTTCTCTACTGCAGTCTCTCAGCTGTTGGCTGACAGCCTTGGACTACCATGTCTGATGGGTTGTTCGTCTATTTCTTGACTTCTGTATCACCTTGTATTGTGTTCACGTCTCTGCCTTCACTGTATTTTGAGACTTTCAGAGACTTGTCCTTCACATTAATGATGTGACTTCTTTAATATCAATTTTTCCCTCCTGGAAGTAGTATATATTCACTGTGAGCAAATTTAGAGACAAGAAAATAAAAGCACCTATGCACACCACCTTTCATATGTAGGGTATTTTAAAATTGAAACTGCCTTACACGATATTAATATTATGTTATAAATATCTTTAAAAATATGCATTTTATGATGTACGAGTTTTTGGGTCCGAAGTCTTTGAGAACATGATTCTGATCTGTGAAATGAGTTGTCCAAGGCAATGCTTTAGCCTTGTGCTGCTCCTCTTTCTGTGGAGTAGGAATTTAATGAAAAGCTTTCCCCTTGCTATTTGTAGAGACTTTCTGCAGTGCAGAATAGTGTAAGACTTGGTATTGAATACATACTTAATAATACCAAGTTATTCTTCTACTCACATGGGTTCAGGATTGTGTACTCATGTAGAACAAATTCAATTTACTAGCACTTCAATGGTTGAAATCTATATTTATGTTTGTCTTTTTTTTAAGATTTTATTTATTTATTTATTATGTATACGACATTCTGCTTCCATGTATATCTGCACACACACGAGGGCACCAGATCTCGTTATGGATGGTTGTAAGCCACCATGTGGTTGCTGGGAATTGAACTCAGGACCTCTGGAAGAGCAGTCAGTGCTCTTAACCTCTGAGCCATCTCTCCAGCCCCCGATGTTTGTCTCTTTTAAAAAAAATTTTCTCATCATTAGGAAATAAAGCTGAGTGGGTGTTCTTCACCTGCAGCCCAGCATCTAGGCAGGAGAATCACTTGAGCCCATAAGTTCAAGTCCAGCCTAGGTGATACAGTGAGACTTTATTTCAAAGAGAGAGGGAAAGACAGATGGGGAGAGGTATACAACAAAGCTCAAACACACTGATAACGGGGATTATCTGTTAAAATTGTTCATCATCATTGTTCTTATTTGCTAAAAAACGTGGTCCTTTCTAAAATTAACCTTTAGTTTGAGCAAAGGGAAAAAAAATGGAATTCTAACAAAAGTGGCAGTTCCTGACCCGTACCTTCCTTACTGTCCACGCTTTTGTTCTTTCTGAGACAAGCCTTGAGCAAGGCCACTACTTTCCATATGCAGTGGTTATAGGCATGCACTACCATGTCCAGTTAGCAAAAATGACAACCAGGTGTGGTGTGGCTCACCTTTAATCCCAGGCAAAAGCAGGTGGATCTCTCTGAGTTTGAGTCCAAGCCACATAGTGAGACCCTGTCTCACTATGAATGAATGATAAACTCTTAATTTTATGAATGTTACCATTATGTTGTCTTGCGACTTTCATCATAAAAATAAGAATTATAGTTGTCATGTAGCTGTACTATTTTGCTGAAATAGTAATCAGATTTTTGGTTAACTCTCCCATGATAATAAGTATTGTCTTTATAACACTATCAGAGTTATGACTTCATTTACTTTCTTATTATAAAATGATAGGGGAGTTTTGTCTACTTAAAAATTGGTTTTGTGGGGTTTTTTTTTTGTTTTGCTTTGTTTTGTTTTACTTCATTGCCTTCAAGTGTCTGGTTAAATTGTCCTTTGCCTTTTTTCACTTCTAAAATCTACCTGGCCATCTTGTATTTGACTATCATTTATCCTAAAAGAAGTCATTCATTGCCTTAAGAATAATTGTGTGTTCCAGACAAGTTCCTTCCTGGTACTCTTCTACTCCCAGGTTACTGTTTGACTTGGAAACTCCAAGGTTCCTGCCTTCTTTGATGTGTTTTTCTCTGTCTTACTGGTCTGACTCAAGGAAAAGTCAACAGTTGATGAATGTCACGTCCCCTCTGTCATTGGGTAGTTGTTTTCATGTGATGTAGCATCTCTTGAGTCTTGTAGATGTCTGTTGAACCCAGGTGCTTAAAGCAGGTGGATATCCTCCATGAGGAAGTACACGTGGGGTCTATTCTGTGAAGCCTGTACCTCCTGTCTACAAGGCATCTACAGTGCTACCCAAAGCACAGTGGGAACAAGGCTCAAAGTTAAAATATCCCTGAGCCCAGATCATTAACTCTATCTTCCAGAGCATTCTTCCTCTTGCTTGTCCTTCAGCTTACTTTGTATGACCATGTAATTTGCCACTGTATGACTCTAAAAGCCATCACTCGGTGCTATGGGTACTGTGTGCCAAGCTCTCTACTATGTGCTGGGGAACTGGGATAAATAACATACCTGATCCTCTTGTGGAGCATTATCTTCTAGATAAGCTAAACACCAGTTTTATTCTTTAAAAAAAAAAAGAAAGGAAGGAAGAAAGCATGTGCTGTGAAAAAAAAAGTTAAAAATTGATTATTGCTAACATAAGGGACCACAGAAAGCCTATTAAAGGAAATACTATTTGATTTGAGCTGAGAATAGAAAGAGCAGGGTACAGCTATGTGTAGAGAAGACAGGAAGTTGGTATGGGCTAGAGGAAACAGCAGTATAGAAATGGCACGTTAAACAGCCTGAGATGAAAACCCATGTGCTCTGTGACCAAACTATGGGGCTACACCAGGTAGAATGGATCTGACGGGGTTTACTTTGTGAAGAGGAAAAAGCTGTTGGAAGGTCTTAACCAGGAGAACGGTATGGGTGCATTTCAGAGTATTCCTCTAGGTGAGTGGGGAGCAGCCGTCTCACCAAACAGGGTCAAGTGCCTGAGTGAGAAAAGCAGTTTCAGTTCTTGTTTTTTCTTAAGATGGAGAAGGGATAGAAAACATATCTGATTATGGACACTATATATTCTGCTTAGCTAGCTAATATTGACAGCTTGTCTATGCTCCCAAATGTTATAAAACAGTGGGGTTTTCTACTTCTTAAAGGGGCTCTTAGAGAAACTTCTAAATGTTACTGTAACATTGAGGTCACCTGGCATTCTAATTTAGTCATAAAGCTGGATTTGAAAATTCTTAATAAATTTCTTTTAAGTTGCTGGTATTCAAGTTATTTTTAGAAATTGGAACTTGTCCTGATTTATCTTCTCCATCTGTTGTAATGCTTCAGTTAGACTCTTGGAGAAAGGCTTTAAACAACTGGACTCTTTCATATTATTTGCTATTTTTCACTGAGGGAGTCCATTCAGGGCATAATCTTGGAGACTATCTTGAGACTACAGTAGACTTAAGTTTAAAAGGTTTTTTTTTTTAAGTTTAGGTTTTTTTGAAAGATGTATTTATTTAATGTATATGAGTATACATATAATGTATATCAACTTTGTGCCAGCAGAGGGCATCAGATCCCACTAGAGATGGTTGTGAGCCACCATGTGGTTATAGCAATTGAACTCAGGACCTCTAGAAAGAGCAGCCATTTCTCCAGCTTCCATTCTTGCTTACTTTTAAACTGATAACAGGATCCTTTTTATCCTAGTCACTTTAAAACAGCATTGTTTCTAACTGGGTATTTTTTCTTAAATGTACCCACTGTGTATCATAACTGTCATAGTAAAGAAAATGGCCGGCAACTCTTCTGTCTCTTTGGGGGGGGGGCTGTATTCGAGACAGGGTTTATCTGTGGCTTTGGAGACTGTCCTGGAACTAGCTCTGGTCTCAAACTCACAGAGATACACACACCTGCCTCTGCCTCCTGAGTGCTTGGATTAAAGGCGTGCACCACCACCACCCAGCTTCAAAGTGTCTTAATTTAACATAAAGTGTTAAGGATTGGTGCTTAGCTATCAAGAGAAAGTTTGATGAAGAAGAAACTCCTGTAGTTGATGAGACCTGCAGACCGAGGTTATAGTCCCAAGCTCCGGGAAAAGAAGTGCTTGTTGATGGCAAGATGTGTGGGGTGGTGTGGGGGGGGTGGTTCCAGTTTTGGAAATGTCTTGTTATTTTCGTTTTGGAAATCCAAGTGGTATTACTCACTAAACTGATTCACAGATGAACATTGAGGTGACAGATCAGAACTGAGCTTACAAATATCAGTGATAATAGAGGAGATGAGCAAAGGGAGGAAATGGAGAAGATGGTTTCTGGAGAGTTCCTCACTTTTTGTTCAGCAGTGCTACGGACCCTGCAGCGTCCCCGCATATGTGTGGGAAAGTTGTATTTTCTTGCATGGCCCTTACCATGCGTGGTGCGTCTGAGGCATGCCTGTAATCACATACTTAAGAGCTGAGACTGGGAGACTTGGATTTCAAGGTTTGCTTGTGTTAGAATTCCAGACCAGCCTGAGCTACACAATGAGACACTGAAAAACAAAGATAAAACATCAACCCTTAATTAATGAGGTATTTTGGTAGAAAGAGCACAAAACCAACAATATCTAATGTGTATTATTAACTTTAAAGAAGCTTTTTGGGAGTTCTAGCTGGCCTGAAACTTACTATGTAGACCAGGCTGGCCTCAAACTCACAGAGATCTGCTGGCCTCTGCCTCCCAAGTGCTGGGATTAAAGCATGTGACACCACCACTGGCCATCTCTCCAATCTTAAATTTAAAAAAATTTAAAAAATTAAGTTTTTCTTGACCTTAGTTAAAACAATAGACTTTTTAGCTGAGGAAGCATTACAAGCTACAAAATAAAACAGTGGCAGAACTGTAGTGTGTAGTGTTTGCTTCTAAGAAAGTTGAATGTATTAAATAAATGTTTGATAATAAGTGCCCAACATGAAGAAATGTCAGAAGTGGAAAAGTCACTTAATTGCTGGATAGAAAATCATTGGAAGAATTGAATTAGCCCAAAGAGTATATTTAAGTAGTTTCCTATGAAGCTCAACCAACATTAGCAGATTTCTGATTCGTCACTCGGGCCTCAAAGCTCACATACATGATGAGTGAGAAAGCACTTTATACTGAGGAAGTCTGATTTCAGAAAAGTGATATAATGGAAACCAGCTTCAGCAATTTTGGAGAAAACTATAGATAATGTGGAAAATGGAGACTGATGTCCAGTAAATTTGACTACTGGAGATGGGAGAGATCCAGATACAGCACTGGAACTGTGGAGAGACAAGGAGAGAAAGGAAGAGTGAGTCTGTGGAGAAAGGAGCCTTTTGTGGTGTAGGTTGGGCAGTTGTCAGCTCTGGGGAAGCACAGGTAAGAGCAAGCATGAAGAGCTAGCTCTCAGGGACCTCGTCTGCTGCGGGTGCTGTCACAAACGAGCAGTTGACAGGGAAACAGCTGTAGTGTAGGCCTTGTTCCAGGAAAGAGCCTCTAGAGTCCCAGTGACTCCTGTATGGCTTTGGATGGAGAAGTAGAGAAAGAGAACTGTAAGTTCAACTCTGAGGCTTACATGCAAGAATGGGCATGGAACAGCTAAAAAGCAGACTACAATGCTGGTAGAGCTGTATATACAAAAATTTTCAAATGTTATTTGCAGATTTTCAGAACCATTATTGGTAACTCACTGGGCTGTATTTTTCACCTCAGTGTTAATTTTTTTCTTATTTGTCAGAACAGATAAAGGCCCAGTCTTGCATCCATGAAGATGTTACATCAATTTAGGTACAATGCTTTATTCTTATCTGTTTTGACCCCTGGTTTCTACACAGTCCACAGCAGGAGCACCAGTATTGGCTAATGCCTCACCTCTGACTCTCATGACATCACCTTTGTCTGTAACCAATCAAACTGTGGCTCCTTTTGGGATGCTGGGTGGCCTTGTTCCCGTGACCATGCCCTTCCAGTTTCCCTTGGAGCTGCTTGGCTTTGGAACGGACACAGCTGGAGTGACAACCACCTCGGGATCTACCTCAGCCGCTTTCCATCACAGCCTAACTCAGAGTAAGTGGAGCTGGATTTCAAATGAGCACATGGACTGTCCACACCACATTTGGTGTTGTAATGAAATAAGCAGGAGAAGGTCCATGTGGGGGATTTTCTTAGCATGTTCAAGACTGTATTTCCATCAGTCAACTTCTGCAGTGTCAGAAAGCTCTTGCTGGCATTAGATAAGACAGATTCTGAGTTTGAGCTGAGGGGACTCGTGTCTTAAAGATACCTGACCAGTCTGTTTTCCTCTCAGATTTACTAAAGAGTTTACAGCCAGGAACTCAGCATGCAGCAACACTTTCCCACTCTACTCTGCCTACACACTTACAGCAAGCATTTAATGGTAAGCAAGCTGCTTATTTCTGTTGTTTATGAATGTGTGTAGATGCTGATTAAATTTTCTTCAAACAGTATGACTAATCATAATGTTGGTGGGGAAATTTTCATTTGACTGGATCCTCAGTGGCAACAAATACTTTTAAGAGAAAGGAAAGGGGTAAATGAGACCTGTTAGACATGAAGGGAAGAGATTTTATTATATACACATGTTACCTAAGCATGGATTCATAAAATAATTAGCCAGAGTCATAGAAGTTGACAAGAAAGCTCAGCAGGTAAAAGTACTTGAGTTCTGTCCCCAGAATCCTCAAAAAGAGATAAGGGGACCAACTCCACAAAAGTACCCTCTCCCTTCACATCAGTGGGACTTATGTCCCACCCATCATGCACACGTCGTACAAGTTTCTTTGAAGTCATAATCAAGCTTCAGCAGTTAAAGTCACTCAATGCTGTTACAGAGGACTACTAATGTTTAGTCTCTTAATCTTATCTAAAACAGAGATCAAAAAATTTTCTTTGTTTTTATTTCCAGAGACAGAGTCTCACTGTGTGTGCCTGGCTGTCCAGGAACTTACTTTCTAGGTCATACTGGCCTTGAACTCATTGTGTGCTGTGTGCCACCAAGCCTGAGTGGCACAAATAATAAATATTTTGGGCTCTACAGTCACTATAACCTTTTTTTACAGCTACCTGTACTGTATCATTGTACTGTAAAATAGCCACAAATGACTATAAACGAGTGAGTAAAGCCAACTTCCAATGAAACCATACTAACAAGAGCAAATGGTGGGCCAGATTTGGCCATAGGCCATGCTGCACTAAACTCTGGTATAAAAAATTTCACAGTCTAGGTAATAGAATTGTTTTATTTTGATAATTAATCAGTTACTTTGAGCAAAATCCTATTTTAATTGTACCTTACCATTTTATAAATTTGGTTATTCCATTAATCAAATCATTTCTCTCTACAGTACAAATATATATAGATACATATCTAACTATGAATGAAAAGGGCCCTGGTTATTTAATAGAACTGTTAATATAACTTTGAACTTTTTTTTTAATGTTTTCCAAGATACTTGGATATGACATGAGTGAATCTGGCCACGTGACTTAGGGTCCTCATTCATTCCTCTTCCCTTGAAGAGTTTCCTTCTCTTGTCATTTTCCCTCCGGCCTGGCTTGTCATTGGGCCCTCATTTTCCTTACTAGGGCTCTGAACAGAGGTTTCATGTTCTGTTGGCCCTCTGGGTCATTGGGTCCTTCTCTTGCCTGGGTAATCCCCTTTTTCTCCCCTTCCAGTTATTTTAGAAGCACTTGGCTAAGGATCACATAGAGTAGTTACGTATTCTCTGTAAACAGTGAAGGGCAACAGCATAGTAGATACAGAAACTACGCTGCCCAGCAGTAGCCTTACATCCTGCACCACAAGGCTAGGACTTTCTTCACTTCCAGTGTGATGTGTTCGTAATATTTGGAAGTTACAACGTCATATTATAGCACAGTATTTAATTTCACTTACAAAAGAAATAAAATTGACCTCGTCTTCAAGAGAATCAAAAGATGTAGTAGGTCCCTCGAAGGTGGGTGTTGTATGATCTGGTCCCTCTATAACCCAGCATTGGACATGGTTATGACGTAAATAAGTGGTAAACACCTGCTGAAATAGTTTTTATATAGTTTTCAGTCACTGTGTTTCTACGTCTTATGTTTAATCAACTTCTATAATGCTATCACCATGTGAAATAAGGGTTATCTTTTTAGAAATGTAATTCACAGTAAACTGATTCTTGATTTTTATTTTTCTTTTCTTTTTTACACCATGCCAACCCATATCAATTTAACATTTCTTTTCTCAGATGGAGGCCAAAGTAAAGGGGACACTAAGTTACCACGGAAATCTCAGTGACTTCCCGGCCATCAAGAGAGGAATCCTTTGGCTGACTATTGGGACCGACCTGATGGGGAGTCTGATGTGGTCACAGGGCTGCTGCTTCTGTCCATGTTTACAATCTCGTCCCAAGCACTGTGGTGAGGAGGAAAAGGAAAGAAAATGTTACTTGAGTAAAACCAGGTGCAGGAGGAAGAAATGCTTTTGTGCAAAATTAGTGACCTTTGGTCTCTCAAAGTTCCCATGTTAACCTGCTTCAAAGAGACTCAGCTGTCAAACCCACAGAAGTATAAATTTGATTTATTTTTTTTTTAAAACCTGGGGAGAAAGAAGGAAGTTGAGAGGATTTGGGTAAATGGCCATCCATCCTGGGGGTTGGATCTGAACACGCGACATATAAGTGCATAATAAAAGCAACTAAAAGTAGAATTAGCCCAGTTTGAGGAGAATCAGTCATGTCTGTGTAGTGGACAGATTTGCCACAGTCAATCGCACAATGTTCTCCAGACAGTAGCCGAAGAATACTGTACCCTCAAATGTCCTGAGCAAACTTGAATCTTCTCCAGTATGTAGCAGTTCCCAGTGTAAGACTGAAGATGCTTCAGCAAAGTTGCTGTAGCACAGTGATAAATATCACTATATCTTCTAGATTTTTAAAGTCAGGAAAATGAGCCTGTTGCTCTTAACAGACAAAATGTAGATAATCCCCTTTTTGTAAAAGGGTCTATTTCATCCTCCATTCAGAAGTAGGTACTCAACTCCTTTCTGCAGCTGACTTGTCATCTGGTATTGACTGGTTAGTATTTATTTCTAGTCCTGGTGTGCAAGAGTGAGTGCTTGCATTTTCTCTTGATACATGGGGTCTTTGGTGTTGGGCTGCTCGCTGCTTTGCTGCTCTGCTGCAGATCTCCCTTGTGACCTGCCAAGAACTGCAGATGCCCAGTTCCCTCACTGCACAGTGCTCTTCACCACTGGTCCTCAGGTGATTAGAGCTGTTGATGGAGAGTGCACAGCATCTGTGTGTTTGTGGGTCACCCAGATGGCAGATGCATCGCTGTGTACTGTTGAAAGGGGTGAAGTCCCGTGGGGATGCTGTGCACAAGGGACCACCTTCATAACTGTCACAGTGCAGCTCTATGTCCCATATCCTTTGCAGGAAAAATGTTTGCAGCATTTGGAATCTGAAGGTCTTACTAGAATTTACTCAATGTTGATGTTCAAGTGAGCCTACAGATAGTTAAGATTCCTTAATTCTGGTTGCTGTATGTGAATAGAGTCAACGAAGGATATGAAGGGATAAATACACAATTCTCTTTGAATACTTTTTATTTTGCCTCAACTACATTGTGGTGTCCCCTGAATTTTAAACTTTGGAGTATTTTCAATTTATCCAAGAATAGTGTAAGCTCTAAGTGATACAAGTTTAGTTTGTGAGATGACAGACTAGCCTGGTAATAACAAGATTGCTTTCATATTCTCATTACATATTACCATGTAACATTAAATTTATACAGACAAGAGTGTTAACCAGACCCCATTTTCCTTTGATAAGCAAAAGTCCCAAGAAGCCTCTAGGACTATAATAACCAACCACAGATCTGCTTGGATTTTTATGCCTATAAATTGACTTCAAAGTCAAATTGGCATGCTTTATAGCAAGAAGTCAATGAACAACTGAAAACTTTAGTTCCAAGAACTTGTTACAGTAAGGGAAAATGATTGTACAGAAGAACCATTGAAGCTGGGTATACTGGCTCATGCTTGTAATCCCAATACTCAGGAGGCTGAGGCAGGAAGATCTCAGGTTTGAGGCTAGCGTGGAGGATATAGCAAGACCCAGGCTAGTCTGCATTGGGCTGACAATGAGACCCTGTCTCCAAAAAAAAGGAAACAAAGGAGAAAAGGAAAAGAATCATTGGTATAATTTCTTGACTGTAGTAATTTAGTTTACCAATAAAACAAATATGGATGCTATGTGAGCCCTGGTAGATAATTGGAAAGATACAGGGACATAGCAGAGAGCTTTGACTTGAATTTAGCATGTTAAGTTTCATTTGAAAGGTCTCTTAGAGAAGCTTACTCAGCTCTTGGCTTACTCTAGCACCAGGTGACTTCTTTTCCAACATGCCTGCTAATACTGCCTGGGCTGCTGTTTTGGGGGTGTGTTTAGGAAGGTGGCCTTGGGCTTCATTTCCTCTTCCCAGGGAGAAGTCAGTGCATATTAGTCTCTCTTCCTGCTGATACCTGTGTGTTTATGTGTTTACATAGACACGGTCATATAAATCAATTGCTATTAAAAGACATAATAATTCTGAACCATGCTATATGAAGGCCCCTGATGGTTCTTTGCCATCATTAGAAAAGAACAAGATTAGTAATTCTCTTTCCTGTGTCTTTTTATAAAATTACCTGAAGCCCTGGGCTCTGAGAATATAAGACGTAAAGTTTATTCTGTTCTTACGAGTCTTGATTCCCTAAGGACTGCTGTAAGACTCCCCACTTCAGCAACCTTCCATGTTATACAGATAAATCAGAGTCCTTTCTACATGTAAATACATTTCTTTCTATATCATAGCATTGAAAATGGTGTCCATACTTTATGGTTACCTGTCTTTACACTTTTTATTACTAAGAACAAGCATATAAGTTGGTTATTTTTTAACAGAGACTTGCAACTCATACTGTATTTTTGCACTTAAAGTCAAATTATGTTATTTTTCAAATGGTGAATAACTGGAAAGGTTATCTGTAGAGCAATGTGTATCGCTAAAGAACATTAGCAACATCCAAATGCAGAAGAAAATCAGCACACTTAGATCCCACTCATGGGTACTTGATTCAGGAAGATGAAGCTATTTGTTTCCAACTGTCTTACATTTGAAATTGCCTTCACTGATGTATAAGCTGTTACTGTACATACAAGGTGATCCTCAGTATTCACAAGCAATAACAGTCAGCAGAGCTGTCTGCTGGACCTCAGTTGGAGACTGTTTGGGAGCAAAGTGTCAAGCTCATTCAGAGCCTCGGAAATAAATGCAAGCAATAATTTCTGTTAAAATTAAATATATTAATTCTCATGCTTCTGAGAACAGAGTGAGAAATCATGATTTTAAAACATTCTGGAGAAAAGATTTGGAGAAAAGAAGCCAAGTTTTTCTGTAGTAACATGCTTTGAAGAAATCAAGCCGATTCAATTAGTCCATTTTTTCATGCCCACCACCCCTTTGATGGATGTTATTAGCCTAAATTATATTGTTTTGTGTCATAGACACTGAATAAGGCTTATTTGGGTCCCAACACTGGGAAAAGAACTGGGCATATACCTGTTTGAAGACTGTGGGTTTGACACCTGCTTGGAAACAGCTTATTGGAACTGATCTTAACCCAGGATATTTTTTCCCAAAGCAGATCTAAATTGTTTACTATGCAGAGATGGAAAGGGCAGACACCCTCTTCTCTCTCCTCTGGTTGCCCGCTCCTGCAGCCCTTTCCACCTCTACTTGTTCAAGACTTTCTGAAATGAAAATTCTACTGTTATTGCAACTGCCATTGGTTTTGAGAACTCTGTCCTTTGGGATCGTCCCTAGAACTCATTATCTGTCCTACTTGCTGCTACATTTGGAAAATGACTTTGCCTGTGTTGGTTGACTTTAACTTCTCTATTTATAGGAGAGTTTGTCATGTACTTTGACCCCTGTGTAGAACTAGGGTACTTTACTTTAGGAGTGTACTATGAAAGCACACTGGTCCTTGTATTGTTATTGTTACTTAGGTTTTGAATTTGTTTCCTCTGTTTGTTGGTTTTTGTTTTGTTTTTCAAATTGAAAAATAGAATAATGACAAAACCCTGTACTCCAGGCCAAACTTGAGAGCTGTCGGGTGCTTCAGCAAGAGTGCCTCTGCTGACCCAGCGCTCTCTAAAGGCACTTTGACTTTTAGTTGTACATGTGTGACGTTTTGTTTGTTTTAGCTTTGGGGGTGCTTTTGGTTTTGTAAAAACAAAGCAGAAAAGAAGTGCAGTAGTAGATAAATGATCACAAACATGTTATGCAATTTTATTTTATAAAATTTTAAAGGAAAAGTTTAACTCCTTGTAAATAATTTCTTATCTCTGGTAAAATGCTTATATTACTCCTCTAAATCATGCTCAATTCAGGCCTTTGTCTTTGTTAAGTGCCTTTTATTTCTTTCTTTTTCTCCCCTCTTTAGAAACTTTTCAGACACCCTCAAGTACATACTGATAAGTCAGGGGATTCAGGAGAAAGAATCTCAGACTTGCCAAAATCATGTCATGTTACAATAATCTCCCTTCTGCTTTGTCTGTGTGGATACAAGAACGAGTCGCACAGTGTGTGTATAGAACCAGGAACAGCTGTTGCATGGCAGTCTTTCTAAGCACTGCCCTTTTGACACTGCAGACCTTCTACCTTGTTTATTCCATTGCTTTGGGTTGATTCAGATAGGCAGGTCGGGAAGTAGTCTTTGCACATGATGCTGGCTTCCCCTTCTGAATATCTGTAAAAGTAAGTGTGTGTGTGTGAGTGTGTGTATTTATAGGGCATTATATATACGTGTTGGTTATTGCAAGCATAATAAACTTGGTGGACTCATTGACTATTTCTGGATGTAATCCACTTCTCTCTACCCTTCAAATTTGGCAGAAGTAGTGTGTTAGGAAGCATCAGAATAACAAGAGCATCTTGTGGATCAATCTGATATGGTGCCCTATGCAGACAAGATTAAACACATGGAGGGCTAGAGCTAGAACCTTGAAGGTAGTACCTGAACACAATTTGAAGGAAGTTAGCACCTATGTCATTATTAAAAGGTGTTTTCTTCTGGAAATATTATCTTTAAGAAATCATAGAGCTGAATACCTTTTAAAACTTAAACTTAGATTTTAGATAATGAGGAAACACTCATCTGCAACATACTTGAGAGATTTTCATTCTGTTTATTTTCCAGATGATTAGATTTTACTCTGATTTCATGATCATTTAAACATCTTAGCAAAATAACATTAAACTTTCAGATTTATTTTATTTAAATGTGACACATTGAAAGAGACTTAAATTGAACCAATTCTCTAAACAGTACAAATATATCTACAAAGGACCCCACTTAAGTAAAATTTTAATTGGAAAAGGACACTGGTAGCTAAAAGAAGCAGCTCCTGGTAGCAGAGCTGTCAGAGTCAGGCAGCTAGGATCAGTAGTGAGTGTTAATTCCTAAACTACTTTATCTAGGGGGATATCACTTAACCTTCGTGCCTCAGATTGCCCATGAGACATTTGGGTATAATAATAATAGCCTACCTCCCAGGGAATATCAGAGACTTTACTATTTCAAAAATATTTTGAGTTTTTCTAGAACATCCTATATAATTATAGTATTATCTTCCTGCAGAGGTTGAAAAACAAATGTTTTCCTTATAGTGGATATAAAGAGCACCCTATGGTCTTTATGTTTTAAAAAAAATCACTGGAATTTAATTTAGATACATATTTGATATTTAAACATACCATATTTGTAGTGTAGTAGAATTATTAGTTTCAGATTAAATCAAAGGAGATGACACTAACTTTCTTAACTACCAATAGATTTTTTTTTTTAAAGCTTTTATGATGTTATTACTTGTGTGAAGTTTTTGAAGGTTGTGAAAGTAAAGTTAGATAAAGTTTGGATTACTGATGAATGATCCTGAAAGGTTATAACCTCCCTCTTCTACCTTCTGAATCTAATTTCCTTGTAGTACTTGCTTGGTTTTTTCCGTCTCTAAGAGTAAATCAGAGCCTGCCTGATGCTCCTGTGTCTAGGTTTATTCCGCTTTGCCCTGGGGGATGGGGCAGGCCTACACCTAGGCAGCTGTGTATACTTTTAAATTTGCTGTTCATGCTTCTTCAGCCCATGAGCGAGTGGGAGCGATCAGCTGCTCAGGTTGTAGGAAAAGGAGAGAAGGATGACAGCTGTGGCAAAGGAGAGAGGTCGGGGCAGGAGGGAAAGAAACATGATTCCCCTCGCTCCTGGGAGGAGGTCAAGATCATTGTATCTCACCTTCCATTTGTGCATACAATGTTTCTCGTTAAAGCAACAGGAACAAATGGATGCTGCAGTTTTTGTTAGAGCTAAGTAGTGTGTGAGAGAGAGTATGAGTGAGTTTAAATTACAGCACATATTCAGGGTCAGCAAAGAGTGCAGGGTGTTGAGGAACAATTACCCAGCTCAAGTGAGTTAGGAGAGAGCACTAGGCCTAAGCAGCCAGCACATCTGGGCTGATCCCAGAACTGGCTCAGACCTGGTCATTCTCTAGTCCTAGAAGGTTTTCTGGTGGTGGTGGTTGTTTTCCTAAAATCACTTTTGGGATTTTTGGTTTTTTTCCCCCCTCCTCCAGATCAGGCCTTAGTTCATAGTCACTAAGGATCAGCTGTGCACATAAACATACTCTGTTTTCCACATTTCTGTCTTGTTCCATTCTTCATTAACAATTGTTAAGATTTCAACCCAAAGTAATAAAGTTTAGAGGTTTTGCTGAATGTGTGTGCGTTTCTCTGGGGAAGAGTAACCACAGCCTAAAATAAATATGTTGTCTGTGTTCATCTGCCCTAGAATGTGAACTTTACATAACAAGCTAGCTGAAGATCCTTTTGCCTATGCAGACCTAGAGTTAGTGTAGTGGATCATGTTTGCACTTTTATGAAGTCATCCAGTGTAATTCTGAGAAGTTGAGTGTTTTTGTTGACAGAACTCAAATGCTGACTCAAGCTCTCACTGAAAACAGCTTCAAATATTAGTGTTGAATTCTTCATTTTTTTTAGTCTTTGTTCTTGCCTTTGGGGTGGAGCTCTAAAGTTAGCCACTTGCTCCTCTACAGTGTGAGTTGCTTGTTGTTAGATCTAGGGAGGAAAGGTGTATTGTTCCCACATCCTCCTCTCCCTCCTTTTTCCATCTGTCCTCTGTTCCCATCACATACACAGTGATGGGATGCTTTACATTTTAGCAGAGAACAAAAGCATACGTCACTGTTAGGGTGACCAGCCTGATGCTAAATGACACTTTCCTCATGCACACTCAAGTACCATTTGCTTTAAAGTGATTATTTGTGATCTCCCTGTGTTGTGATGTTTCCACTTCTCCTGTTTCCTGTGTATTTCCATTTCCTAGTAGTTGCTATTCAAACTTTGTGTAGTTTTTACAGTGTTACCCAAACTGGTCTGGAACACATTTGACGTCTCAGTAGTACAATTAAGGTTCTATACATAGTCCAGAACTTGCAGATTATTGATGGTGGGGACTTTTCCTCTTCTCACTTAGATTAAAAAATAGATCTCATAGGCTGAGGGTGTAGCTCAGTGGTAGAGCTCTTGCTCTGCATGTGCAAAGCCTGAAGCAAAACAACAATAAATAGATCACATTTTTACATAATACCTGTACTTTTCAAGATTTGTCAAAAAGAAATAAGCTCTTCATTAGGAGTTCATAATAGTCCGGCTTGCTTGTTTTCTGTGTCTCACCGAGAACAGAGCTCTTTTGCTAAGGTCTGTCTGAGCCAAGCAGACCATTGAATCCTTAGCCCCAATGTTAAGTTCCTCAGAAAACTCATTTGGCCCTGACTTTGCTACAGTTACATAATTTTGTTTTACCCTGCCTGAGTTTGGTGTTGGATGCTTGGTGGTAGAGCTCTGGCTGACATCAGATAAGATGGCTTACCCGAGATAACCTGAAAGTCAACAGCTCCATCTGTCTTCAGAGTACATTTAGGAATAGACAGCAACTAAGACTAACCATTGCCTGCATGACAACTTGTGCTTAAAGTTTTGCAATCATACTGTATTTTCTGTACTTACGACCATAAACAATTTCCTCTCTCGCTTTCCTCTACCGTTTGCAGAAACCTTATATGCACTGTCAGAAAATTGCTTTTTCCCCACACACTGGCAAAATTACCAAAAACTAGCAAAAATTTGCCCAATTTTAGCTAGGAACATAAAAAGGAAAATAAATTTGTCAGTTGATGAAAGTGTTTGTTTTAAATGGTTAGAGTGTTGAGCCAGCTTTGGTCGGCTTTCTTGACATTTTGGCTCTGCCTCCATAATGGATTATATACACTTTCTTGACGTGGGATCATCAAGGGCCTTCTCCCAGTAGAGGTTGGTTTCCCTCCCACACAGCTTCCTCTGATTCTTTCATAGTTAGCATCCACAGAGCCAAGCTTTATAGTGATCTGTTGTCAACTATCATTGAAAACTATCTGACTCTAGGAAATACTGGAGTACTAAACTGTTCTTGGAGGAGAGCCTCCCCAAGGTTTCTCTGGTTAAACAGTGTCAGACTTCAAGGAGAGGAAAAGAAATCTCTGGCTGGTGAAAATTTTGCCCCCTAAATAATAACGTTATTAAGTCTAACCTAGGTGATTAAGAGATGGATGTTTTCTCTCTTTGCTTGTGAGCAAGGTTTATAATTTTAAGAATTACTGTGGAACTGCAAACCTATTTGCTATAACTGGAAAACAAGAGTCTGAATTTTAGTCTGGTGAAGCACATATTTCCAACTCAAAGTTTAGATAAGGGGAGACTGTGGTTTAGTAGCAGAAGGAAAAATGATTATTTATACCATGAGTGTCCACTCTGCAGAGCTGCTTCCCACCAGGGAACCAGTTCCTCCTCTTCCGTAAGCTCTACCCTACACAGATGCTAACGTGTTCACAAGCCAGTCTCTGAGAAAGGAACCTGAGACGTTGATGGGGCCTTAGGTAAAGGCCCCCAGTTACTTTGCTGCATCTGCTTGTCGGAAGGTGTATTTTTGCTAACTTGAAGGAATATATGCTGTATTTCAAATAAGTGTGTGACTTAATACTTTGGGATTTTTTTTTTTCCTCTAAAAACTGTACCTGAACACAAGCTTTGAGTTGGTATTTGTAATAATCTCAGGACCTGAAAGATTGTAGCATTTAGTGTGTCTTAAAAATTATGTACTGTACCAGCCATGGAGTTTTGTAAATAATACCTGTCTCCCTTTTTTTGTATTATTTTAGTAAATAAATAAATTTAATAAAGGGGGGTAGTGATGGGGCGCGCGCGCGCGTGTGTATGTGTGTGTGTGTGTGTGTGTGTGTGTGTGTGTGTGTAAGGCTCTTTTAAGGCAAACTGGTGCTTGTTGAATTTCTAGTTAAGCTCAGCAGGAATATGGACAAACTGCTGCTACTGACCCTACACTGAGCAAGGAGGAGGTACTTTATCCTGCCTTTCCAGTGGTCTGTGCAGCACTAGCAAATGAGAATTAAGTTAGAATCTAAGCCCGTCTTCACAGCCATCTTGGTGTTTTGATCCTGGGTGTAGTTCCAGCATCCTTTAAATTGTGGCACTAAAGCTTCTACACTTCACTGGTCCTGGTTTTAGAATTAATAACTTTCCTCAGAAAAAAAGAAGGGCAGATTTAGGAAAAAAAAAAAAAAAAAAAAAAAAAAAAAAAAAAAAAAAAAAACTTAACAACAAAAGAACCTCACCTTCCATAAGACCCCTTATGAATTTTGGATACATGAGAACATAAACATTCCTAAATGTGAGCTTACACTGGCCCTGTGATGCACTGCTTCGGGGCAGGGATGTTTGTGTGTTTCACTCTGCAGCAGCTTTGTCCATATTCCAGGTGTAACTAGCAAACCCATTTTGAAATAAGAGCCTTATTTGATTCAAAATAGATGTTTCCTGTCGATCCTTTGTGACAGGGTCTTTTACATGAGTGTTTTCTTTTTCTTTTTGTATATGTTATGTGTTTGTTGTATTAAATAAAGAGGACTGTAAATATTGGTCTCATGTCTCTTGTGTTATTTCGCTAAGCTTGAGTGTAAAGGTTCCACTATCAGCAAGGATTGAGAGTCTGTATTACACTGTACCTAGGTACCATAGGCAATGAAAGAAAGGGCACAGCCTGCTCGTTGTGTTCTAAACAGTTTGCAATCACTTGACAATTTATAATTGTCAAGAAGTATTCAAACTTTGTCTACAAAAATGTGCTCCCTTGCCACTGGAGTTCTGTTGTGGAGCAACAAAGGAAGACTCCAAGAAGTGGAGAAAGCTTTAGGTGGCCCTCCGAGGGCAGAGCAGAAACTGGCAGTCGGGGAGACGTGTCAGGTAGATGCGCTTGCTGGGAGGTGTACGTTTGAGTGGTTGATGAAGGCGGATGGTAGAGTCCAAGAATGCAAGCTCATGAGGTCCTTCCTATAGGCAACAGCGTGTGTGTGTGTGTGTGTGTGGGTGTGTGTGTGGGTGTGTGTGTGGGTGGGTGTGTGGGTGGGTGTGTGGGTGTGTGTGTGGGTGGGTGGGTGTGGGTGTGTGTGGGTGTGTGTGGGTGTGGTGTGGTGTGTTGAATATATATCTGTGAGTAGAAAATACAGACAGGGACCCCCAAAGTGTGAATAGTGGTTTGAATGCTTGTTTTCATCTTTTACACTGTGTAGTTTCAATGTCTTGAAGATGAAAAAGTACCGCTAAGAATTTCAAATGGCGTCAGCTGCTTTGAGCTACCAGTTAAAGACAGCTGTGTCTGTGTCCTGGCCTGTTATTCTGAATGACCTTGGAAGCCTCCCCAAAAACACCTGAGTTAAATAATTCAACGTGACAGGCGGTGGTGGCATGCAGCACTTGGAGGCAGAGGCAGGCGGGTCTCTGAGTTTGAGGCTAAACTGGTCTGCAAGGCAAATTCCTGAAAAGCCAGGATTGTTACACAGAGAAACCCTGTCTTGGGAAAGAAAAAAATGGGATTGACATAATTACTCAATGATATCATCGTCTGTTTGTCAATGTATAACATTTATGTATTAAAGGCACCATTGTGTTGCCAGGCGTTAGTGGCGCATGCCTTTAATCCGAGCACTCGGGAGGCAGAGACAGGCGGATCTCTGAGTTCGAGGCCAGCCTGGTCCCCAGAGCGAGTGCCAGGATAGGCTCTAAAGCTCCACAGAGCAAACCCTTTCTGGAAAAACAAAAAAAAAAAAAAAAAAAAAAAAAAAAAAAAAAGCACCATTGTGGTATTTTTTAGAGATTTATTTTTATTTTTGCCCACGTCAGTGTGTGTATACACATGTGGGTATATGCATGTGCACGTGAGTGCCCATAAAGGCCAAAAGAGAGTTGCACCCCTTGTAGCTGGAGTTACAGACAGTTGTGGGCCATCTGATTTGGGTCCTGTGGGAGAGGAACGAATGTGCTCTTAAGTACTCCGCTGTCTCCAGATCCTGAAAGACGCCATTGTCGTCAGCCCAGGTATCTTAAGAGATCTGTTACTGGGTCAGCGAGATGACTCAGTGAGTAGATGCTGCTGCCAAGCCTAATAGCTCAAGTTTGATCCTTCACCACATTGGTGGAACGTGAGAAGTAACTCCTGAAAGTTAACCTCTGACCTTTACATAGTTGTGTCCACACAACTCACTCTCTAAATACATGTACTTTTAAAAATTCATTATTGGTTTGACACACTATCTTACACAAAGCAGTAAATAAATAGTAGCTTTACTATTCATGTATACTTAAAAAGTTTTTTTTGAGATGGGTTTCTTTTTGTGGCCTGTACTAGCCTTGAGCTTGCAGTCCTCCTACCTCAAACTTGTAAATGCTAGGTGACAGCTGTGTGCCGCTATTACTGGTGTAACCTTGTTTCACATTTATTCTGTATATGAAAACACAACTCAGAGAACTTTTTGAAGAAAGTCATCCAAAGAACTGAAGGGTTTCTGAATACGCTAACGGTTTAGAGAGCTGAGAAATACGTGGTAGAACCAATTCTGTCTTGTAGACTGGGAATCGGGTATCTAGTAGGAAGTGTTACTAGACTGTAGAAATAAAAGTTAGGGGCTACCCTGATCTGCACATCAAGTTTCATTCAGGCCAGGCTAGTATAGATAGTGTGACCCTGTCTCGAGAGAAAGAAAAACTTTGTTAAAGAGGAAGCAGGTTTTATCTTTCAACATGGAGGCAACAAAATGGAAAGTGGTTTAGGAAAGGGTCTAGATGGAGTTTCCAGCCAGATTTAACAAATTGTTGACAAAGGTACTTTGCTTTTACAAACTCCAGGGATGAGCATGTAGAGATTTGAGTCCAAGTATGTTTCTAGCATTACAGTAACAGCATAGGAGTACAGTCTATCATCAGGATGAGATTGGCTGGGTAAATAAAATTAACACTTGGTAGCATGTCTTAAAATGATCAAAAACTGAGCGTGACACTGCATGCCTGTAATGTCATCTTTTGGAGATAGATAGTAGTTCAGGGTCATCTTCAGCTACATACTGAGTCTGAGATCAGCCGGGGCTACGTGAGACTCTGTCAGAAACAGCAACAGTGGTGTTGCACTGTAGGGAAAGCCTGTGCTTTTCAAAGGACAGTGGCAGTTGCCTCCTCTCCAGGTGTGTATATATACTAGTACATCTTGTCATCTCTGAAACTGGTGTGTCATCCACACGTGCCTTGACGTGGCTTGTCCTTTTCTGTGTGTATTTACTGCTGTGTCCTGGCATGTGTGCCTTGGCGTGGTTGTCCTTTTCTGTATCTACCGCTGTGTCCTGACATGTGTCCCTCACTGTCTCTCACTGATTTTTTTTTGCTAGTAGGGTAGCGTATGTGAAGGAGGAGTTGTCATTAGACAGACAGGCTCATGTGGCTGCACTAGGAAACTCTAACTGCAGGTCTGTTCTTGCCCGTGTTCCCCACTGTGCGAGTGGTTGGGTTAGACTTGTGGAGAGCACCTGGCAGAGTGCCGAGCACAGTCATTCTTTTTCCGTCTTTGCTTCTCAATGCATGCTTCCTCTTTCGAGTTTCTCCAAAACACGAAAGTGAGACAGTCTTGTGAAAATGTGCTGTGATCACAGGTTAGCACGCAGGTCTGGATAAAAACCCAGCTAGAATGCTTTCTGACTTACAAAGGAAGAGCAGTCCGTGTGCCTGAGCAATTTTTCAAGTTACCCTGGGGCAGGGGAAGCTTTATCTAGTGGTCACTAAAGTCTGTCTCTTCACAGGTAGCCTACCTGCTGGTCTCAGGCTTGTCTTCATAGCCAGTTGGCTACTGTTATTCCAAACTGTATGTAAGCATGTATGGCTTATAATGTCAGTTCAAAAGCATTCTCTTCCCAGATTATACAACTCATCCTCTGTCTATCCTTAGTCCTGCTCCATCCTACAAGCACCTATTATTTTTTTGGTATGTTCCCTTGTCGTGCATCTTGGTAAGTAACATTGCTTTGCATACATACAGATTTGATGTATACAATCGATAGTCTGCTATAAATGTCTCCTGCCTTTTCTGTTGGGTTAATCTACATTGTTCCATGTACTGTGTGCTTCTGTGGACTGTTGCATCATTTTTCCTAAGTGTGTATCCTGCCCCACTGTAAACTGCTCATTCCCTAGAGGTAGATACCCTAGGTTATTCTTAAGTCCTTATTACCAGAGAAAAATAAAACAACAACAAAAAAGGCTCCCTTCCTGGGAATTACTTGTCCATCTTTGCTTGCTTTCCAGTTGTACTTTCTGTCTTCATTGTAGACCCTACTCTTGGATGTCATGTTTTTATCCCTACCCTGTATGGCATCCTCTACTGCATAGAAATCCTTCTTTTTTAAGTCAAATTTAGCAAGTGTGGTAGGCCAAAGCCGGAGGACTGTGAGTTTGAGACCAACCTAAGCTACATAATGAGGCCTGGTCACAGAGGACTTGAGGGGAGATAAGAATATTTAGGTGCTTTCAAGCATTGTTTTTCTAACATACTTTCCTGTCCCAGAGTGCAGGGAAGATTTGCCTTACCTCTAGCCTCTCTTCCGTCCCTCATCTGCTATTTCTTTGCTTTCCTCCGTTTCCTTATTTTTTTCCTTCTTTTTTGCTGTGCTGGAAATGGGGTTCAGACACTCTCCCACTGAGCCAGCAACCCAGCCATAGACATACTACTCCTTTCCTCGACTCCTCCCTCACTGCGGTTTCTGTGGCAGGATCTGGCCTTGAGCAGAAAGTCCTTCTGATTCAGTTTCCTGAGTGCTGGATTACAGGTTCACACCGCCACACCCAAATACCCACTAATTTTTCAAAGTTGATGTTATACCCATTACCTTTACTAAACTTAAATAGTGGTATTGGGGATTGAACCCAGAACCTCACACATGGAAAGCATGAGATTGATGCCCAAGCTACATCCTGGCACTGTTAAGCTTTCATAGTCTAGTAATTCCTGTTATTATATTAGATTTCCAGTGAAATTAATAAAATCTAAGTATTGGTTTCAGAACTGTGTCTCTAGCCCCCCTGAAGACAATCTATCAAAACAATGATGCATTTTTTTGGGGGGGGGTTCGAGATAGGGTCTCTCTGTGGTTTTGGAGGCTGTTCTGGAACTAGCTCTTGTAGACCAGGCTGGTCTTGAACTCAGAGATCCACCTGCCTCTGCCTCCTGAGTGCTGGGATTAAAGGCATGCGCCACTAACGCCCGGCCAAAACAGTGATGCTTATATTCCTCATCTAGGTCTTTGACTCTTGTTTCTTGGTGCATTGTGTCTATCATGACTTTATTAAGTGTGGTATTTATTCTAATTTTAGTTGTATTTTATGAGACAGGCTCAGGCCCGTCTCCTTCCAGTCCAGGGATTACAGGCTTGTGCCATCATGCCTGCTTACAGTTTTGATGAATACAATTTATGAAATTAAAGTTGCTTGGGAATGTAGGTCATATGAACAAGTTGAATTATTTCAAGTATTTTCCCATAATACTGACACACAAGCAACACTCAGAGAAAATTCTTAGAAATAACACTCACAGTTCCCTTTATT